TGGTCACTTCTCTTCATCTACTTCCAGTTTATTGCGATACTTGCTCACTAAAATCAATACTATAAATTTTATATTTTATTTAAAAATTGCAATTCATTTACATTCGGTGATACTTTGCTAACGTATACACTGCACACTGTTTATCCATACCAATTGAATTCAATCCTACAACTCGATGCCACCTGAAGTACAGAAGAGTCACAGCAAGACGATTCTGTTAAGAATTGTAGAATTTGGACTAAAGAATGGGAGGAAAAAAATGTGTTCTCTAGACTGCTGGTATAGTACAATGATATTTAGAGTTGGTATAGCACAACATAATATATTTAAAAGTATTAAATATTACGAAAGAGAAACTCTCGAAAAACACGAGCGACAATGGTGACTTCGATGTCAAGTAAATCTTATATGTTATACATAATGCATAATATTTTGAAAACGTTCTAGTTTCGTATCATTTTAATGTCTATGCAGTAATGGAGACCGATACCTATGTAATTAATTTTGGTATTTAAAAAAACATACAGTCAAGCAGGCATTTGCGTAATGACATGCATTAAAGTGTTATGCCTTTATAAAAATGTAGAATGCAGGAAACTAAATTCCACATCTTTAAACATTTCACTGCTTTTTTGGAATAAACCGTATCCAAAATTTACAAACGATAATATACAAATCTTCGCAATACATGCAATACATTCATTTGAAAACAATAAAACTATTGCAACACCACCAAATGCTAAAAACATTGCCGTAATGCCTAATGTTTTATATCAGTAGATTAAATTTTAAGAATTTTTCAATTTTTGAAGCAGTTAAAAAACTGTGAGTAACTGATGAGTTTATGTCTAGCAGACAACTATAAAAATCAATAGCAAATTCTGAAGAAGCGAGTTGGAAAATAATTTCCAAAAAAGTGGACTAAACTGTCAACCTGCCTTCCTTCTAACTTTATATCAAACATCTTTTCAAAAATATTCCCAGTCTTAATTAATGCGTGATCAATAAGCAACAATATTTCACCTTACTATTTAAGCCAAGCAAAGGCTAATATATTTCCTTTTTGCAAAGGTTTTCCAAAAATATATATCACTTACATCGTCTAAAAGCTCCAAATAATATATTTCGTGTCTGAAGTATGATAAACAAGCCAGACGCTACTGTCTTACTATTTTACTGTGATCATCACGGAGCATTTATAGAAAACACTGCTTAATACTCATCTTGATGTGACAGGAAAATCTCCAAAAATGTTTACTACGAGGCTTAGAGAAATATATCAGCATACGAGTAATAAATATATAGATCTACGAACAAAAAAACAAGTATTTCCTCTCTGATCAGTGGTAAGAATTGTCTTCAGAGAACTGTGCGAAAGACAACAGAATTAATTCAACTGAAGTTTATCTGTTTTGCCTCCTAAAAAAACAAAAAAGAATGCCCGTTTTTGATACCCACCAATTAAAATATTTTGTTATATGCTTGTCTTCAGCCAGCTGCGCCTGGAAGATTAAAACGGCTTTCAAATTGTCCTTTGTAGTTATTTTCGCTCAGCACAAACTGTATGAAAACACTCTTCCGAACAGTATAACTATGAATGCAAAAAATCAAATATCAAAAGAAGCAAACATCAAAGCTGTGGTTGTAAAAAAGGTCAATTTGTAAAACCTGTTCAATCTTACCACTACTTCTATTGCGGGTCGCATGGAACGATACATAATTAGAACTAAAATAAGTAAATTAAAAATGCTCTTTTACTGCAAATATTTAGGCACACAAGAATAAATACTAGGATAAGGAACATATAAACTGGTAAACCACTTTTCAATAACATCGTTGTGTTTACGAAAAATTCTACTACTCTGAATGTTTGATTTGAAGTCTTTTGTCCATCTATGGCTGGCTTACATTAATGTAAACAGAAACTAAATTCAGTTTTGTTCACATCTCAACATTAATGAAGTCTTTGTGGGAAAGATGATAAGTATTGACTTGAATGAGGTTAACAGGGAATTAAATGAACCAAAACAATGAACTATAAAAATTTTATGAGATACAAAGACCTTTTTTATGAGATATCATAAGATACAAAGATGAAAAAAACTACCAAGATTTACAGGAATTGAGACTATTATTGTTATATTGTTGTAATCAAGAAACATTAAAAAATTTCATAGAGGAAGGTGAACACCGCATACTAGAACGCTTCTATAAAAAATACAACAGACTCTACCTGAATTATAACTGTTAGTAATATTACTTGGGGGCATACCAATCCTCATTTCACATTTTTTCTCCCGTCGAGATAAACGATAAAGTAGTAACAGAAATGGACTGCATTCGTAACTAGCTGAATGATGCATATATCTCCGTTCAATCTCTGATACGGCAGTTGAAGACTCCTCAGGACTCTCCGGTTCTTTTAACATACATAGTTGTATTCAGATAGTTCTCGTGAAATAAACATACGATGTTTGCAACTGAATTTCCAGAAGAAATAAAAGTAAGGATATCCTATTAAAATTACTATGAAGAATTTACTTGAATCTAAAAACGCATGAACAACTTTCCTTACCAACTAAAGGACATTAAATCCATCAAAAATTAACCCAACAATCGCAATTATTATTTAGTGCAGAAATGACGGGCAAAAATATACCTCTGATAGTATATCGTGAACATAATTACTGACAAAAAAAGCACATAAACAAGCCGTACACGTGTTTACTAATGATAATGAACAAACTTTAGTCTTAAGGCAACCAAAGACCACATGATCGAATCCGGAGTTCTTAATCACACCTCAAACTAATGCAATACCACCGGTTAATGAAGTAGGCATGACAACACAACCACTACGGTCTTTCTCGCCTTATTTGTTGGTAGTTACCAACACCACTCCTCAGACGGGGAATCTATCACCACATGCGTAGGGTATGCGTTGGATCTCTTGTCATCATGCGGAGTGCAAATATGCCCACAGAAAGTATCAATAGATGATCTAGTTGATTAAAGTGAGTGGTTCACTAATATTTCACTTTCCAATGGAAATTCAGACAACCAGAGAAATTCATGCAATAGGAAAACTCCACAGATGAAATGTTCCAACGTGTAGAACCTCCGACCTCCACTCACACACTTGTTGTTTACTCTCATAGTGTTCATTCTGAAGATCATCCCGACAAATGAAATGGTCCTTTCACTCTTTAACAATAAATTTAAAGAGTTTGTGCAGGTGTACTTCCTCTATGTGAACGACAATTGAAGTGGGTGAAAATAAACCAGTCCAGAAGACTATAGCATGTTTTTGGTTTGCAAGACTAGACTTCTAAGTCCAATACCAATCAAAAAATTGGATCCGAAGAAATTAGGGGACAACTCATGTGAAATGTCTCAAAACAGGATGAGGGGAACTTTTCATTCATTCAAATTTCCTTTCAGAAGAAATCAACAGGAGCACTGCGTATGCAATTAAAGAGAAATCACTTGTTCGCTTGCAGAAAAGATATTACGCAACAAGGAACTCACTAAACTATCTCAAATGTGATCCTCCATGCAAAGCATTCACCTCACTGTATCCAAAAAAAAAAAAAACTGTTTTATTAATGTAATTTTGAAGCTTTAACGGTTCGAGGTTCTTTTCAAAGCCATATGTAGTCACCAGCGAATGAATATATACACACACATATACATACATACATACACACATACACACACACACACACATTATGTACAATGACTAGAAAACACAAAGTACATCAAAGTAGAAATAAATATAACTATAGTGTAGGCTTACCTCATAATACAAATTAAAGGAGCAGTAAAATGTTTCTAAAACCAAGAGATTAGAAGCTAAATTTTGCACTTAATTTGCTAAACAGTTTGGGATAAAGCGCGGTGAAACACACAAACGGAGTGCATCGAGGCAACGCCAATCATGTTAGATTTTTTCAATATCATCGTATTTATAAGACACTACAAACTTTGGAATTTTGTGACACATATGCCGAATAGAATGAACGTAAAACTTTCATTAATTTAATACTGCTCATGATAAACTTTGAATTTAAATCAGTATTCTCCTTCACCCACACAACCGTAATAAAAATACTATGAAGAAAAAACTACTATATTACTGAAAAAGTCGGACATTCCTAGCATTATAGAAAAGATTCAACATTTCAACAGGTAGAAATGCATTTTTTTCTTCTATGAAAAATAGATGCGCATACTTCGCTTCATCCTTTCCAAATCCACGAACTCAGATTAGTAAAAACCAGTTATATGCCATTCACTGATACTGAAAGATGTCGCATAAAAATTCAGCTTAAAGATTTAAAAAAGAACAGATAATAATGCATTCAAAGAAAATCCGTTTCTGCATGAAACCAGTAGTTGCAGAGAATCAAAGAAAAAGATGTGGCGATCCAAAAATGCATTCGTTCTTTGAAATGAGCATAAAATAATAAGGAAAACATTTTTCGTCAAAAATACATAAATGGATTCCATGACATTTCTTTATAAATCTTCCAATTAAAACGAGAAAAGAAACATATCTCAAGATAATAGCCATAATCTCTGTTATAACAAAACGAAACTATGAAATCAGTGCGTCGAAATTAATATAGAACGGCCATTTATGATAAACCATAATAACACACACACAAAAAAAAAAAAAAATGAAGTGTGCCATGGAACATCTTTCTTCCAAGTGAAAAATAAAGGAATTCGAGAAAAAACAATTCATAGTGATTCAGTATATTCCCACAGCACTCATCAATCATAATAACTAACAGCAATTCCCGGAATTAAATAACTTAATTAGAACTTTCGGATAGATTTAGTAAATCTTAAAAAAAAAAAAAATGGTTTTAAAAATCTCGTCTTCATTAATTCTCTGAATAAATATATTTATCAAGTGACTTCACATCCTAAACAATTGAAGAACATCAAAAATCACCATTTTTGGACAATTAAAAAATGAATGATACAAATAAATTCTATCTAAGAGATGCCCATTTCATGAAACTTGGAACTGTCCTGCAGGGTATATTTTCGCATATAGCTTTGATATTCAGTGCACGATCTTCAGTTAATAAAACAACATTTCGATAAAGTTTTGTTAGCTGTTCTGTATCCATCATAGATATCGATGATGATTGTGCTGTTGCTATGGCATTTGGAGGTTTAGCTCGAGTTTTCGCAAAATTCACACAGCTTGACAGAATAAAATCGTCATTCACTGCCTGAAATTTTATTCTGCTTCCATCTTGATAACCTTGATAAATTATGTAGATTTTAAAACTGGAAGAATAACAATAACATTTGAATATTTACGTATAAAAGTGATACAGAACGTAGAAGAGATAGACTAACTTTTGTAATCTTTGTTATTTTATTTTTCTCTATTGCAATTTTTTCCCCAAGAAACATCTCATATTTCTGCTTCTACGTATTCTTAAAATAGAAAGCAAGAAAACGAACTTTCAATTCTCCTGAAGCGCAAGTTTCCTCCGTAGCAAACATGAGCGAAGTTAGCAAATTTCCTTTACTGGTTATTGTGTAGACCTGAGGTACTTGTTTGCCAACCAAATCTTTCAGATAAGCGACTGCCTCTTTCGCTCGTTCACCAACCCAGTAATCTTGAAAATCACCTAACACTCCAACAGCGGGTTTTGGCGAAGGAGAAAGGCGCGAAAGATTCTCTAATTCTGAGAAAACTGAAATTTTTGAACTTTCACTTTTACTCGCAAAGAAAGGCGAAAATTGAATGTTGAAATCGACAGATATATTTTTAAATAATACCAGTTGTTGGTACAAGTACAGTGAATCGGTGACTTTCAACAATTTTTCTAATAGACGCCAAGTGGTCAATAAACGTATTCGTATCTGGCACCAAATACTTCGGACGCACTTCAATAATCACTCGATTTCCCATCGTTTCACGTTCCAGAAGCTTCTTGAAATTAGTAATTCGATTTTAAGTTCGAAAAAATTTATAACTGCATTTCTTCCCATTTCAATATTAGTCCGCTCTTTATATTAGATATATCCATTTCTTTTCAAATAAATCAAGGATTCAAAAAAATTGAAAGGTTGAAAACTTTCTAATTTTGGAAACATACCTGTTTTACTTGATTTTCGCGAACCGTTTGTCTATAATGTTTGTACTCGTCGGAAAAATGACTCTGAAAAATAATGCGTAATGATCAACATAATAAGAAAAAAAATTCATTGTTGCACATATTACATGTGAATTAAGAAGATACAGATGTTAAGAAAGGAATTTTCATACTATGAACACAAAAAATGTATATCGAATTTGCAAACTTACTAAATCTTGCTCCATTGCCTCATGTGAAAATTCTAAGTTATCAAACTGCCGATCAAAGTTAGCAATAGATTTTCTTGTTTCTGTACTTTGAACGGTAACTGGTGAAGTACAACGGGTTGCAGCAAAACAACGCAAATACTCATCAAATCCAAAGCACGGTAGTTCTGAGCCATCCAAATATTCTGCTGTTGATAAAAGGGACGATAAACGAGCATGAAGAGCCAGAAGAGATAGCTAGAATTACAAATTTTTGCTGGATAAGAAAACTTCTGACACGTGGTTTAGGTTGGCATGATTCATTTAGTCAGAATAATTTCTAGTTGGGAACAAGAAGCCGAAAAAAATTCCAATCTTAAAGGTAGACGAAGAGATAATCGTGAACCCTTTCAAGGTCTTTACCTTTGATTCATACTGATTCGAACGAAAAATACTAATGAGATAAATTTAAGCTATTTTTTACAAGTTTCTTACATTATTGCGAAGATCGATGTTTTCTAAGGACAGCATCTGTAACGATTTTGGCAATACAGTAAACACATCAATAAAGGATGCCAAAAAAACTGCTTCCGGAAGTATAATTTCTACAGATTCTTCCGATTTTCCTAAAAGACTTCAAATGGTATAATGGGATGTTACATTTAGATTTTCTTCCATATAAGGATCAAAAATATGCAACAATGAAACACCAAATTTTATTCCACGCTGTTTCATCCAATAAAGTAAAAACAACTTACCATCAGATTGTGTAACAGTCCTTGATAAAATTCCTCTAGATTCAGCGTTTACTAAAGTATTCGCAACATCGGCAAATAATTTCCAAGTATCAACTTGTATAAGTGAAGTTTGGATGGATTCCAACGATGGCATACTTCTGTATAAACGATTTACGGACGGCATCGACAACCACTCAGAAATAACAAAAACAGCTGGCAATACTCGACGGGTCTGGAATATTGTAACCTTAGCATATGTAGTGCATGCATTTAAAAGGGAATTGCTGTTATTAAAATCATTTCGATAAAAAACCTTTGATGGCAAGCGAACAGAACCGTTCAGAATTTTCGACAAATCTGACAACACATCGTACACTGGTTTTAAAATTACTCCGAATAAACTTAAAACCATTTGTACTGCTTGCTGCTGTTGTAAAGAACAAGTTCCTGGCTCACTATCTGAAGTGAACAATAAAACGCCATAAACTGAATTTGGTTCATTTCATTATGTTCAAAATACTTATCCTACAACAATCAATGACTTCTATTTTCCTGTTACTGTTCCCAAGATTTTACAAAACTCAACTTCGTTTCTCACAACTTCTCACACTTCGTATGTAGAAATGTGGGAAAAATTCTTCATAACAAAAACACTACTAAAACACTCACCAACTCTTACAATCACTATGTTAAACAGAGGAGCCGCAATCAGTTGGAAAGGAAACTTACTCATATTTTAAAAGCGCTATAAAAATTTTATGATTTTGCAAAAAAAAAAAAAACTTACTTTTAAGAGTTAAGCTATGAACAGCGTAAAGAAAAAGAGTGCACAGTTGTATGAGGTGTAAAGACGAAAGTGGACACTCATCACGTGATATTAACTGTGATAGTTGGAATAATGCTCGTTCACTAATACTGTCATACTCCTCCATCCCAATTTTAGTAATAAGAAGTCCGGCTGTATGAAGCAAATATGGAACTGCCTGGCGGAACAACTAGAAATTTAAATATGAAAAATGTTTCTCTTTACATGTTTTTGCAGACCGCTTACTCATTTATGGAAAACTAATAAATCCAGTGAGATCTAAGTCATCGGCAAAAAAAAAAAAAACAAGATTATAAATTGAAAATGGTTAAATTCAAACTTCAACAGTGGAAACTGATCGCAATGCGTGGATAGCTCGATGGTCCGTAATATCAGCATAATTCCGAGAGGAAAGTTTTCCATCTTGTGCAATCCAGATTTCTTGTGGCCTATCAGTCCGAGCCGCAGCTGCTTCCGCTTCACGTATTGCAGTATCACCAACACGTGCACTGAATTCTATTTCAAATTCGCTTACCTAAAAAAGATATCCGAGAAACTATACAAATAGAAGTTATAGATTAAACTCTAACTTTCTTAGGATCCTGAAAGCACTGATCCTTTTGCTGAACAAAGAAGTAAATTAGCCACGTTGGGACAAGATTAGAACAAACCTTTGTTCCAACGAGACTAAATTAATTTTGCCCAACAAAGAGAAGTCGAACTTTAGTCCTCCTTAATCTAACAGTCTTGATTATATCCATCACAATATTATAAAATAGAGTCAAACTACAGTGCTTTCAAAATTCATACGAACATTCAATTTCATGTAAGAAAAAATCAGTCAAACATTCTCTACAAAATGCTAGTAAATGTTTCACATTATAATCATTATCACTTCAGCAAACTATTTCTTTAAAAAATCTCAGTTTCTCCCCTGATTAATCGAAACAAAGCAGTGTTTATATCACCAACGCTGTATTACAGAGCTTAGTATGTGATATAATTCAACTAATTCAATAGACCTTTTTTTGAACATGACTGAAAGCGGTGAAAAGTGGTTGTCGCGCGGTTTCAAAAGGATAGCGTGCTGCCAATGCCCGAACGTAGTAGAATATTACATCAATCCATTTTGACTGTAAAAGAAAAATTTATTCATAATTTTAAGTAATTTTTTTTTAATATGACAAAACGTTACTTGTACTTGTGGAAAATGCTAGAAAAATATAGACAAATTACATAACAGCAACTTAAGCAAACCTGCACAATTTACAAGTTTCCGACAATGACCATAAATTGTTAAAAAATAGTAATGTCACGGGAACACTTCTCAGAAGAGCAGATACTAACAAAATAAATATCACAACTAACGACGATAATAGAATAAGCAGTGAAAATTAAAGATAATACTTTTTAGCAATATTTTTTTTTTCAATAGGAGCAATATTTTTTTTTTTGCAATACGATTACTACCCTTATGTATAGAATATTCTTAAATTAAAAAAAAAAAAAAAAAGCCACGCTTGTTGAACAATCCATATTATACAATAATAACTCATACAATAATTAAAACTTTTTACTAAAATACATCGTTTAATGCTAAAAACATCATCGTGTTCCAGCCAAAATGATCTCGAATTAGCATCCTTTGTCCGTTTTTTAAAAATCCTTTATTTTTGTTAAGGTTTAAACAAAAATATCATTTGCATGAAGGATCCACTAAAAACTCAAGAATGCATTTTAATCAACGATACTGCGTGTGCTTTAAATAAATAATCAGTATTTTATTCTGCGTTGTGTTTATTATTATAAAATTGAATCAGATCTCTTGCCCACTAACTCCAAATGATATTGAGGAGAAAGAACAATAAACTGCAAGTTCGTTACAACTTTTATAAAAATACTTCTCCCTAATGCTGTAATTTGCCTAAAAATGAGAAACTCTGTAACTTGAAGATCCAGCCTACATAAATTTATCTGTATTACTTAGGTAAGATAAGAAAAATCTCCTTAGAGATAGGAGTAAAACTCTCGCCCAGAATTCAGTTAAATGAGAAGTTAAGCAAATGAGTCAATCAGTCGAGGAGTCCACTATAAAATATGGATTCCTGAGTGCTATTTTAAAATTAAAAAACACCAAATAGTTATTAGATTTGAGTGTAAATTAATAGACCTCATAAACAGCGAGGAGAGCCAACTGATTGTAAGAACGTCCGTTCCCTGCAGCCAACTGTGCTGCTTTTTGATACCACCTAAAAATTTAAAGAAGATTATTTTTCGAGAAGAAATCAATCAAAAATTTATTGAAGAAATTTAAATGAATCAAATCATAATTATTTTTGTGGAGAGAATGAACATAGAGAATTGCAATATACATTTTGATTACTTCTTATAATATGGATCTCAAATTAGAAAATGAAAAGCATAAACTTACACTCTTGCATGTGAATAATCTTTAATACCTGAAACCATGCTACTGTAACGATGCAAATCACCAACTGAAACTGCTAGTCTTTGAGCAGATAACAGAGCTACCTGAAAATGCAAAGTACTCTAATTGCACAGAATTTTTGAAGGCGAAAAAAGGTAGCAAATGTCTGATACACCTCACTACAGATGTGATAGAATGACATTTCCTTTGAAACTAATGAAAAAGATCAATTATAACGAACATTATTCATAATTTATCTTTGTTTTCTTGATTGTTCTTGATAGTCGGCTATTCCGTCTTAGTAGCTATTAAGTATTATTGATTTAATAAAATTAGTATTTGGAAAATATGATACCAACTACAAGTTTTTGTCCGTTATTCTAAAATTAATGTCAAACATTTTGCTTTGGGAATTAGCGATAAAGACGAAAACATCAAAACAGAAGCATTAGGCCAAATTGAAAATCACGCCAACCTTAATGATGTGGTCCGTTGCTTCATGAATCGCAGAATCAGTCAGTACACATCCAGCGAAATCATCTGATGGTAGATTTGAAGGCCAGTACAGATAGTCATCGATAATAAAACCAAATGCTACTTCATATTTGTTCAACAGCAGTGCATAAAAAGCTAGACCCTGTAAAAAATAAATCAGAAAATTACAAAAAAAGCAGTTTCAGGTTTAAATTGAACACTGAAATTAATAAAGTAATTTTTGTAAACTAATATCAACTTTTCTCATATTTGGACTATATTCTATTCTACCGTCATGTTTCAGCAATGCTATTTTATCTACTTAATAATTTTGGAAGACTAAAAATTATCAAACTTCCGGGGCGAAAATTTTGTGCTTAGACCAAAAAATATGATTATTAGTCTCTAATTCTTTTAAAAATGTCGCCGTGCTCGCTATCATCACTAAGGAATGCTTGAGTAGCTCCCAGGTCTTAATTGCAACTTTAATTCCGGATTACATGATAGCTTCAGGTGGTAACCAAGACAACTGTAAATCAAGCATTGCTATATTTGCTAATATACGATTGGTAGACAAATATTTTATATATTTCTCTGTAGAAAACATCTTATTTTTCAAAAACAAGTTAAGAAATGTAAAACCTGCTGGATAAGTTTCGACAAATTAGTGCGAAAAATGCGAGAGGAATTCCCCGTTGAATTGCTTGCAGCGCGCAAAGCTTCTATGGACGTATAAAAGCACTGTTTCCATAAATGTTGCTCCAGATTCATTGTATAAGTATAACTGATATTTCTTGTCACAATTGATAGATAAAGTTCCGATAATGATTCACTGGAATAATTATTATTATTAACACCTAAATCTTCGTGAAGACGGGAGTTCCAGAGGACTTAGATTCTGGCACATTTGATCATTTGTGTGATTCTATTAAAATGAAATCTCATTGTCTTTTCACTTCATATATAGTCCAGTTCATTAATACCAACCAGGTACAGCCGTGGAACTCAAAAAAAAAAAAAACGATCTTTCTAACATTTCTCATTAGACAGCACTACTACCACTCTATATTATGTTTTTATATTATAACGACATCATTGCAGAAAATCACGAAAAATCTAATGAACCTGGCCACTAGGATTTCTTCACCAGCACTTAGATCCGCAAACTCTGTTATTCGCTCGATCAACTGATTAATTGTGTCATTCAGTATCTGAATTTGTGGACCCTCTTTGCATGAAATTTCTAAATGTATTGGCCATTCAGTAGGTGGTAATTCCCTTCGAAATCTATTACTTTTCGTCCTTCCCAATGATGATTCTGAAGCTTTCAGTGGTTCTGAAGCATTATGCATTTAAATTTCAAAAACCAACTAAAATTTGGAAATCTATGCAATTGAGATGCCCTAGTTGGAAAAAAAAAATGAAATATCTAGTTTTTTTTTTTTTTTGAGAACATATAAGTTTTTATAAGGGAACATATAAGTTTTAAAATATAAAAAACCCACCATTTGAAAGTTCCGCCAGAAGAGTTGCTGATCCAATGGATAAGGATGGTACATCACAATATTTCTCTTCCTCTCGAAAGTTTCTCGACGCAACATTCTTCAGTCCGCTAATACCCTTGATGGGTGCAGACGATGTCGCTTTCAGGATATTAGATGATGGGGCACTAAAGTAAAATCACTAAGAGCTACACATTGAAGCTATAAGAATTAACAATATTAAAATATCAGTTAAAATTATCCACAGCGGAATCCTCACATAAAATTTTTATTGTAATACCTCAAGTCGCTATCTCTGTTACTAGTGCGCGTATTATTCCGAGTATACTGTGAGGTGGTAGATCTACGCTCCACAACTACTTCTATTTCTCCTAGATTGTGCTGCTTCCTGAATAATGCAATATGAAAATTCTGTATTAGATATTTTATTATGAAGTTATCAATTTTTACAGAAGCAGAAGACTTCACAATTGAAAAGTTAAAGAAGCTAAAGGCTAGAAAATAAACGAATAAAATAAGTAAAACTGGAACAAAAATACTTTAATTCATCCTTTTCATTTCACCAATCTCTTGAAAACTAACCTCATTTTCCACCGATTTTCGCGTTTACTTCGTCCTCTATTTCCATGTCCGTCCCGGTGTGTATTATTGATAGTTGAATCATCTGATCTGGGAACTAAAAAACAAAAAGGACAAATTTCCTTACTATCCCAATAGTCTAACTGAAATTTTTTCAGCATGTTCTGAAAAAAAAGAGTCTTTTGAATAAAAAAGATTATAAAATGTCATACTGAAAAAATGAAAAAATTGAAATAAAATGAAATATAAAATGAAAAAATTTCATACTTCCTTGTAAACACAAATAGAGATGCATTTTCCACGGATTGAAAAAAAAAAACCTTGGTTAACATTCAGATTAGAGCTTTCTACTTTGTTTTCATTGTCTTGCGTAGAAAAATTTAATGTCGTCTTTCTATCATTGTTAGTTGGTGTTCTTTCACCACTGCCACTTTCCACGTCACTCTGTTCTTCGATACTTTCGGCAATACTTGATGCTTGACTTGTGAAGCTATCTGTTAAAAACCAGGTTCAAAAAAACCGCTTTGTAAAAAGCAAAAAAAAAAAAAAAAAGGAGTCATGATGGACCTTTGCAAATGCAAATACGCTTTGAATCAACTATTAAATTCAAAAATTTTTAGGAGAAAGTAAAATCACCATTTCGCTGTCTTGATAGATCAGTAAAACGACGTCCACGCCCAACCGATGGAAGCTTAACGTTTCTAGAGTATAAGCGACTAAAACCATTACTACCATTGCTAGCTCCTGAACGATTTTGAAATTTAGAAAGAGATTCGAGAGCACGTCGAGATCTTTTATTCTGAGAACCTGAGGGGTTTGTTTGTGATGGGTGTTTCTCAGCTGTACGTCCCTCTTCCTCTCGTTCTTTCTGAAAAATTTTACTTTGTCTAATTTTCTTCTCATCGAATTACGTGACTATACATGAATGTCGCATCAACAAAATTTTTCAAGTATTCAGAAAAGCTATTTTAATGAATTTAATGAATAATGAATTTTAATGAATATTAATACTAAAGGAATTATTTTTTTTTAAAAAAAAAGCTACCTTACGTCGTTCCTCAGCTTCCACTTCTGAACTCCAGTCAAATGAAGCCAAATCGATCGAATCAAGACTAGCATATAAGTCCTAAATGAAAACCAACTGAATTATATAATTTTGCTTTTATAAATTGATCTTAAGAGTAAGCACAATCTTTCTAAAGGAAAAAAAAAATATAAGTAATTTGCTTCATCGTATCTCCAAGAAGTTCGAAAATAAGAAAGCAACAATAAATATTCGAAGAAACCATCTGTAAAAGAAAAACATAAATAGAGAGATGTCAAATAAACAGAACTCCAAGAGTGTGAATGTTTGGAAAGAAGCCAAATCTTAGCAGCAAAAGACTACTTCTAGATAATTCATATTCCCACTATAACGATAAACGAACTATGATGTTCCCCGACAATGAACCCTAACTTTAAAAAAATAGAACATCTTTTAAATAGACTTTGGGGATGACTTTAATAGAAAAGAAGAACAAAGGTGACCTCGACAATGTAGATTATTCATGTTTTCTTGTATTAAAAACTTCCACATAGGAAGTTAGGGGCTATTTTTACTTATATTTCATATCTTATAAACATTATATTCTAAATTAAGAAAACGGCCAAAAAACCTGAAAGGATATATGCTTTGATACTGCTTTAGATTTGTTCGTCAAAATTTCGTTCCTTTCAGCAACCTAAAGAAATCAAGAATTTAATCAAACAAATACCATGCTCGTGTTCAAATGACCTAAAATATCTAGTAGCTCATTTAATTTGATTTTTATTCATTTCCATTGCACGAGTGAAAAGTAAAAAAATAATAGAAATCTCTGTCTCTCCCCTCTATACATATATATATCAAAAAATTCAGGCCTCTAGATTATGCTTAACTTAATCAAAAAGATCGTGCAAGGAACTAATAATCTCGAGTTCTCCCAAGTTCTACTGATTTAAAGGATTACATGGAAATAAGCTTTAATAGATATTTTTATTTTTTGTTTGTTTGTCTGTTTTTTTTTTTTTTTGATTTTTGTATAGAGTTACACATGCTAAGCAGACTAAAAAAGAAACTCGCATTTTCGAAACGCGTAATATGTATTTTGCATAAAATTCATCTAACTGATTTTTAGTTAACATTACATCGAAAGACCTGATTATCTTGTGGTATATTACTAGTTCGGTCGATACAACTATTTTTGTTGTTTCGATGGCGACAATGCTTGAAATCTTCCGACTGATTGCTTCTGAAAGACCAGTCTCGCTGACGATTTAGTGGACTACGACGGTCAAAGCTTGTTCGGCTTAGACCAGTTCCATCAGCGTATAGCGGTCCCTGAATGAAATTTAAGAAAAATATAAATAGAACAACAATAGCGCACAATGACAGTTTTTTGAAATACTTTACAGATTCTACTGGTTCAAACAGACAACTAACAAAAAAAAAATGTTTGCTGGCAAGCCCTATCTTTCCATATTTTATTACCGTGTACTGATCAAAAAATCATCAGTGATCATTACGACGAAACCAAAAGGATCATTGTTTTGCTCATTTAAATGAACCTTCTCCACATATATTTTTAAATGACGAAACCCCCTACACTTTTCTACAGTTCCCTTTTATCTATCATTAGGTGATAAATTATGTGAGCTAACACGGATCTGATAGATCGGAAAATACTTATGGATTCGATTAAATAACATCCCTCATCAAATTGTGACTTTTAGTGTTACAAATCACCTGCTTTGTCGGTACATTTATTTTTACTGGTTAAATTTGAATCACGACCTACCATCTGTCACTATACACAATCAAACAAAAAACTCCCTTACATAGTCCAAAAGCATTTCTTCTTATAGCATTATTAGAAAAGAATTAGTTCTAAAATTTTCTAAACTGTTCTACACATCACCAAAACCATAGAGCAATGATAAGCTGAAATATTTGTTTGGGTTACACCTTCCATTTATACTGCAGTAACTGTCTTATTGTGATAACAGCATATCGTCAATAATGAGTACTGTTTCTTCTGGTAACTGTTACTGTTATTCTAAAAAAGTGAAACAAATTTCTTACTATGGATTCAAGAAAAATTTCTGATGAAATGACATTTAGATTTTTTGATACTTTTCAAATGTGGTGGGAAAAATGTAGAAGAAAATACATGAGAATTGAACATAAACTTATTAGCGATACATGAAATATCAATTTACTCTAATTTTTCTAATTTTAAAAAAATATTGAATAAGCTATGTTCCTGGAAACAAATTTAAAAAAAAGAGTGTCAAAATACTGAAAAAAGTGAACGGATATTAAAAATTAAATAATATTCATCAAGAAGTGTATGATATTCCAAGATGTTTCCCAACAGCTGAAAAAATTATGTCCAGAACAAAAAAACGATTTTGAGATGAAAAATTTAATCTCGAATTCAAAAACCAAACGATTAAGACCAATTCAGAAATCAAAAATACTAACACCTGGAAGAGCTGAATTTTGATCGAATGTTTCTTTTTGATTCCGTGAAGATACTTTGCTTCCAATTTGTGAACTTGCAGGGCCATTACAATGATATATTTCATTATCTGTAGAACAGCCTTCACAAAGTGATTCAGAGCTCTAAAATATATCACAATAGACTGTAAGCAAACTTAAAACAGCAAAATAATACGAAATGTTTCAAATTGTTGTTAGAGATCACTGAAACAAATAATTTTCGAAAATCTAACAAACAGCGTTGCTTAGTTTTGATAGGAACGGATAAATCTTTTGCATTCTTTTTTTAAAGATAAACAGCGCACGTCAATATTACAACATATCTATCAACACACATATAACAACAAATATAGGTTAAGATTGTCTTTTCTAAAGAACTGACTGCAAATATGCGTGGCAGCAGTCCAGAGTCTTGCCGTAGAAGAATCTGGACTGTTGTCGAACACAGAGAACTGAAGTATAGCACAGATTACCAAGAAAACTAAAATTTCCTAAATTAGTCTTTGAATTAATTGAATTAAGAAAATTAAAGGCTATGCTTACGTTCTATTCAGAACAATTAGATACAGTTCAAGTAAATAAATACCAATGCCGATTTAAGCACTAAAGGTGAAAATAGGGAAAAAACATACGTAACAATTGTTAGAACTGGAATATTTTCGTCTGCCAGGTCGTCTTTTTGGAGAACCAAAATTGTCTGCAAGATGATCGTAAAACTTGTTGATGCTGTTGCTGCTTTTTCGCAATGATTCACTAGAATTTTCTCCCACTTTGTATGTGCCACCATTTAATGAACAGTTGTTATTGCGTAGAAGACTATCAACATGAGAATTCAAATTAACATAATCTGAAAAAATACGAAATTTAAACTGTTAAGCGAGACTATGAAAATTTAAGCAATCCTAGATACAAGAAACATAGCGCACAGATACTCAAATTAACCCCACCCATTAAAACTATTTCTTCTCACGACTTTTCCTAAATATTATTTTGAAATCGCTTCACATTTAATAGAAATGAAAAAATCATTAGCAAAATTCTTCTGGCACTTATTACCAGCTGACGGAATGGACTCTGATCTTCCTAGAACTTCCCGAAATTCATGCTAAACCCCAAAACTGCAAAAATTTACCTTTTACAGTATTCACTGACTTCGCTAAATGTTCGGTATTCGCATTTTTCTCTCTGGAATCCACCTTTCTGTCAACTGCAGCGGTCCTTAACATTCTAGGACAGTAAAGCTGCATAGTAGGGCGAACCTTACGTGTTCTATCATTTCGCGTTGTTTTTGGCGAATCTTTAGACATCTGCCCATCAAGCAAATAGCAATATGAATTTTATTCCCTCAAAAACAGAAATTTATTCTTTTAAAATTATTTTCACTCATAGACATGAGAAGTAAAACTCAAACTCGAAAACATAATTTCTTTAAAATTTTGAAGATCCAGGAATTTTCAAGATGCTGAAAAGCACTTTATCTACAATATCATTACCATGGCATACTTTTTTTGACTTCGCAACTGTAATTACTTTTCTCTAAAATAGCTACTACTAACACTCTTAACCAAATAATGTCTGAAATGTGCCACAAACCCAATAATGTACTTATATTTTGGAAGTTTACATTACATTGGAAACAGGGATGGATGCATTACATGAAAAATAAGTAATGCATATGCAGGTCAAAACGTAAAATGAACCAATACAAATAAGTGAAAACACTACAAATATCTACCAACCAGTCGGAATGACTCCCCAAGTTTTCTGGGTCTCTTTTTATCACGGAAAACAAATGAAATTATTAAATCTCTTCCGCAGCAATTGCCATTCCTCCCCAGATTGTACCATCAGTTATAGGTCACTGAGGTATGCACTACTTTCTTCATTAATCTGGTTGCAGATTTTCAATAGCTAATTCAATTCTAACCCGTCTGTTTAATGATGAATTAGAGTGATACATCCCATTTGGTTCTTGTGTTTAAGATACTATTATGTAAACTGTTCTCACTTTATCTTAGTTATTTGTCATTCTTCATTCAGAAGCATCTGCTAGGATTTTTAACTTTTACTCCTTTGACGGATGCCGCTTTCCTTTTTTTTTAGCTTCCTTTGAATTAACCGAGATCTGTTCAATATCAATTCAGTATCAACGTGCACGTCATTCATAATACGATCTATGCGACACAACAGAGAATGAGGAGGAAATCATGAACCAATCTATTCAAACGACCATCACTTCCACACATTTACGAAATAAACGAAGCGGGGTACTAATGTTAAACATAGTGTTCGAATGCTATAAATGTTTTCCCCAACAAGAAAACTGTTCTCGATCTTCATGTCCTTACATTTCCATCAAAAATCAGAAAAGTATATTTTTTTAATATTTTAAATAAACTTATGTATGATTTCTCCAGCAGTAACTTCGACAAGAATTTCATGATGGTCTTGGAAATGTTGATTCGAAGAATTCATTGAATATCCGTAAACGTGAGCTATAAGTATCCAAAAAATTGTTTCGTAAAATCCAGTTTCAGATCTTTCCGAAATTCAATTATTTTCTCTTAATTTAATGCACAAGACATATTTCTAATGGATTAAATTGCTAAATCAACCCAGCTTCCCATATCGAAAATGGACAAATGATGTTCCAAATCCTTGCTGTGGAATGGGAAATTTAAACAAATCCGAGAAACAAAATCTTTTTCGAACATATACAATAATGAAAAAGATGTGGCTGAAGACAAAGTGAATGCTCTGAATCAAATGATACTTTAGGATGAAAACTGTACATAATTTCCCAACATTATTCTAAATTCTAATTGAATAAAATCTTTCATTTCTGGGCGAATATCAAAAATAAACAAAAAAAAAAGAGACTTGTTATTTGTGTAGGACTCATATTTTTTTCATCAACTCAATTGTAAGCAGTTAGTTACCAAATCCTTCACTACTATGTGCGAAAGAAAAAACTGTTAAACTTATTTATTTGTCGTTTTGTTTAGTTTCTCTTCTGAAATAACAGATAAACATGCGTCACGACATTTGCGACTGTCAAATCGACTTTATACATTAATAGCTACTTTCTGTCTAACGAGAACTTCAAATGCTTCAATATATTGCTTATTGTGAAGCAAATTTGCATTCGAGTTACTTTTCAATCATCCCCCGGACTCCCAAAATTTCCGATTAATCTTCGACTTTCCGTCGTATATGCAAAATTAAATATCACCAAGATTTTGAAATCAAACAGCTTAGCGGAAGCAAGACTTTTTAGAAATATTACCTAACAACCACATGATTAAGTTTATAGAAAAAATGAAACCAATGCAAATATATATTTTTAAAAGAATTTCATTTATGACATCGAAACTAAAATCGTAATTTAAAGAAGCTCTAAGCTACAAAAGAACACTGAAAAAATGTCCAGAAATGTGCTAAGTTCTCAGACTCAGAAGGATTTACCGTTTAATTTTCCCGGCTTCATCCCTTCCTTTTCCAAAACATTTCTTCGAAGAAATCGTAAAAACTTCTGCAACACTTAAGTTTGCTAATAAAACTAGATTAAGACAAAACCTCGAAAATGAGTCATATATTATATATTTGAAGAAGAAAAGAATTTAGCAAAATGTTTCTACAATAAATATAAGATAGAAAATCGCAAACGATGAAAGTGATTTCATGAAAGATTTTAAACTCCAAAAATAAAAAAATTTTACAAAAAACATAAAACATCAGAAAATATTAAATTTCTCCATGGCAGCATAACTCATAAATAACTGCAAGAAATTACCACCAGGACGAATGCAGTCATTTAAAAAAAACAAATCAGACAAACTAAAAGAAACCATTAAAAAAGTAGTTAACGTGAAACTGAAAACATTTATGAATTAAACAACAAGTGCGATATTTTTCGAAGTGGCATAAAGTTGAAATCTTGAAAAAATATAATATAGAATCGTAATTTAAAGACGCTCTAAGCTACAAGAAAGCTTTATTCTTTTCCGTCTCTACTATATTATTCATTTTTCTCCCTTCTTTTTCATTTTTTGCATGTTAGGTTTATGTCTGCATGCCATTACTGTTGGCACGATGACCATTAGAAAATAAAATGGATACAAAAAACATACTTAGAAAAGTGAGTAATAGTAAAGAAAACCGGTCTGTATATTGTGGATACAGGAATACAAATGTCCATAGTATCAGAAATTTCACTGAAATACATGTGTTTATGAGATATTTTGCCAAAAAACAAAAGAATGAATCTCGATTCTCGAGTGTTACGCATATTTAGACCTAATTTCACTCTGTTCTCAACCAAATGAATTAAACTTCCTGAAGGAAAAAAAAAAAAACCATCTAAATGGTCTTCGAATCAAAATTATAGAAAATACATTTTAGTTTTTATGAATTATCTCGATCAGATTCTTTTCATCAGGGAAAGAAAAATGTACAAAATCTACAATATCTTACGAAATTACTGTTCCCTCAAAAAGACATTATTTTTCCTCAAATCTTTCAACTAACCGAAATCTTTAAGCTTACCAATGAAAATGACTTGGACATACTGACCAATGCGTCCTCCTAAAACATTCGCATTTTGATTCCATCCATTATTTGCTGCGATATCAGCTGCTGCATCCAACGATACACCTCTTATTGCTATCAATCCTGGGTCTGGGCCCATTACTGCATTATATCCATATCGAAAAGCCCGTGAGAAAGCGTTTTGCACTCGTATTAATCTAAAAATGTCAAATTAATTACTTTATAACATAAATGAACAAAAACCATCAAATAAGCTTTGGAAAGTTAGATAAAACTAATCTACAAAACTAATTTGCCAAAGATCAAGAATTTAAACTGAATGATGATTTCACCTTACTTTTCCAAAGAGCTTCTGTTTACAAATATTTACATATTTAAGTTTTAGAATCACTCTGATTTAGAGAAGTTCAACACTCTCCCTGCTCAAATATCTTCGGTTATTCTTCTAAAAGTTGGTGGAATAAAAGACAACACATACATAGGATCATTTTGATTGTCTTCTATAGAATGACCCCGAAATGTCTGAATAACTGTATGAGTTAATTCTTCTGCTGTGTGGGCTGACACCGACTGTGAACCAGCAATGGCTGCGATAGCTGCTACAGCTGTTCCATTTCTTAGACCTGAAAACATCGTGATAAATTAATTACTGAATCAGCAAAATCTACCACTCCCAATCTGATCTGTTTCCCTTTACCAAAACTTACCGCATCTTTCCTAATTTTATTCCTCTAAACGAATTATTTGAGTCCATCAACAAATGTGTTGAAATCACCATATAAATAAATAAAAGTCAATAACCGCCAAATTTTCTGTTATTTAATTTATTAAAAAAATCTGTACTATCTTTAATTTATAAAATCAGTCATACTTTCTTAGTCTTTGATGAGTTAATCTAAACTGAGTATAACAGTATTAAATGTAACTATGCGATTAGCATGGTTAACAAATCAGCACGGATATAAGAATAATTAAAAGTGAAGATAAATCTTCTTCATATGGGAAATATGAATGAATAGATGACTTTTCCCTTGTTATAAATTACTCACTACATGTGCTAGTGAAATTATCTAGCACAGATAAAGATAATAAATTCTTTGCACTCATGAATGAATATTTGAGATAAATCATACAGAAATGGAGCATTTGTCTTCATTAGATTTATGTCTTCATTCTCTGAGTTCTGTATAAACTTCAACTGCCTTTACGATGTTGCATTTTCGGATATTATTAAATCTGATATGTAATTTAATAAAAAAAAATCAAAATTTTCAAATTCTTCAACGTAAAGCAACCTCTCAATTCTGACACGTTCACAAATTAAAGAAATGTCTCATTTTCAATCTTTGAGAGATAAAGCAGAAAGAATTTCCATACCAGAAGATTCGAATGATAAAACAGCATTATTCGATGTGTTCGAAATTGACGAGGAAGGCTGTGCGTAAGGTGTAGAACTAACATGACAATGTACAACGCACTGATCATGTAAACCGTAACTTAGTAATGATCGTGTATCATCTCGTAGTAATTGCCCGCGATAAATCAATCGTACTATTTTTCCCTCAAGCATTGATTCCCAGAAGTAACGCCTAAAAGTTGTCAGAGATCACCAAGGTCTCGAAAGTTCTTCCCCAATTGATGAATATTAAAAGTCTGGATAAACTAATTTAAGCCTTCACCACCAGCTATCAAAGATATCGATCCGCCGTAATTTCAGTACCTTGTTTTACCCAATAATGTGACGAATGCTACCGTGTTCTACTACATCTGAACTTTCTCCTGAAATGCTCTTAACTACATTATTCTTTGAAATATAAGACATTTCTCCCAACAAGAAAAATTCGATCCGTTTATAATTGGGTCGCGTTGTATTCGCAGAAGTATATCATTTTGCAACTGAATCAAGTTCTTCAACAAAACAATCTAATTATGCAAACGTAGATGCAGAGAATTCCAATATTACAATCCGCAAATCAAGAGTAATCCCAAAAATTAGATTTGCAAAGAGACACAATTCAAAAAATTAACAAAGACCTCTTAAACTGTCCCACAGTAGATTCCAGAGCTGTACAAGCAGTAACCTGAGAGTCATCCAGGAACTTTAATTTTACATTAGATAAATGACACCCACCATTATCACCTTCCATTCCCTCAGCGAGTTGACAAGCTGAATCTGAAATTACTGGCCTTTTAAAGTCATTTAAACAGTCAGATAAAACCAATGAAAATTTTTTTCATTCTTTATCTTTTTAGAAAATTCATTTTTCATTTAAATTTTATTCCTTCACTCCATTTTTCGTGACTTCATAATTTTTTTTTTTTTTTTAAAGATATGTGTCTAGAGACCAAAACATTTCAAAGATAAAATAAGAATTTGAATCACAATCATTAGAAATCCGCTAATTTTCCATTTTCATTTAAATGGTTGCTTTACCAATGAAGAATCCTCTCACAACTTACTGGTAACAACCGAAGATAATTCACATTTTGTATCAGTTTGCGAATTCTTTCCACTTTCAATCTAAATTAAGGAATAATTTATGTGTTCAGAGTCATTCTTTCAGACATAATAATTTAAATTTAAATGCAGGAAAGCTGGTAACAATTGAGGATAATACAAAATTTGAATTATTTTGAATCATCAAGATAGGATCAAGAACTACTCCGATCACTAAAATTCACTTGCGACAGTGATTCTATCACGACAGAACAAGCCAATTCATTTCTGTCCTGGACTTATCCCATATCTGTATTATCTCCCAGAGTTACCATCCAGCTAATAACAGCTTGTTTCGCGCAAACTTAATAACCAATAACAAGATGTTTTCTTGACTAATTCAAGTCTTTTGTGACATGGACTGATAATTCCAATATAAGGGATGCACTTTTTTATGTATCGGTAAAATTTGAATAGAACAGCAAACTTTTGCATAATAAATACTTGAACTCACTGAAGTTGAAGCTGAAAGATCTGCATTTCGTTGCCAATTAACAATTTCCGCCCCCATAAAAGTTGCATGGAGTAAGCTTTCCCTGTTTTCTGCTAGGATTATTGCCTAAAAATATGCTGATCTGGAACTTAAACCTGTATGTGAACATTCCCTGATCAGTAAATAAAAATAATACAAACAAGTCTAATTAATAACGGTTAATTTATGTGTAAAAAGCCTGCCTATTTACTTCTGCCAACTACCATTATCACTGATTTTCAACCGATCGAAATTCATTTATGAACTGGATAAACTGAGACCTACAGTCAAGTTCTTCCTTTAAAGCAAATATTTGTAAAAATATAAGAAGGAAACAGGGTAATAAAATTAAACCTGACTTCATACACATCAAATCAGGACTATGTTGGACAGCAGAAAATGAATACTACTGTATTTAAAGAAAAAAAAAAAAAACCTGTTCCTGTGATATTTCTTGTGTATGCAGGGAAGTATCCTCATCTCTGGAAAAAGGAGAAGAATGACTACAGTTGGAGTAATGAAAGAACGAAGTTTTCAAAAAGAATCTTAATCAAATACAGAAAATAGAAAAAAAAAAGAAAGGAAAAAGCGAACAAATATTTTAGCTAATTACTTTAGCTAAACATTCCAGAAGATGGAACTCAAGCACTCGAGAAGGCTCGAGGAACAATAAAATAATATGAAATTACAACTAACGTTTGTCGTTGCGCCATTTCCTCTGTCTGAGGTAACATTACCTCTTCAGAAGTGTTACTTTGTTCCATGATACCAGTGTCTATGAATGCTTCAAGTGCTTGCTCCGTAACCGCACTAAGAGGTCGTCTCTCTCGACGATCTCGAAATAAATTGACTTCTTGATTATCCACTTGCAACACCTAAATTCTAACAAAAAAATCAGTCCTTCAAGTACTTCATTTTTGAAACTACGCCCTTTATTATTAGTAGTTAACATCGGCCGGCTGCCAGACTATACGTTAATTATAGTAACGGCTCCGCACTCAAAGTCTGAATGACGCTGTCATTTCGTTCGTTAATGGATTTCGAACGTCCCAGTGAAGGAATGATTGGGAATCACAAAACCACCTGAACAACCCGTCTGTTGGGACGAATTTGCATTTGAACAAGCCATACGTAATAATCTACTGGTGGTATGCCAGTACTGATCCAAGCAAGTGATATTAACACAATGACAATTACTGTTATCAAAAACCAGATGACCTGAAAAGGCTTCGTCCAAGAAACAATTAACAACCTACTTATTTTCCCTGAAATTTTGACACTGTAACCAAGAATAACGCAGGTAAACCAGTACGTAATTTGTTTGAAGTTAAGATTTTAGCATCATTTTTAGCTCCAGAGGAAAACAAAGTACGACATTATTTTTGAAATATTTTGCAATGGTAAATAACAAGATAGTCAAAGCTTGAATTCCACAATTCCTAGGAATGTCACAATGAAATCTTTTTATAAAAAAGCTATTTCTTTCTTTTAGATATCAACAAAAACTTATTGCTACAGCAGTTGAAAATCAAATAATTATTTCGATGTTATTCCTACGAGAAATTAACAACTATTCAAGTAATCTACTGATATATTTGGATTCTGAATGATCTTAATTGAGGAATCAGAATTAACTAACCTCATCGCCGATGCCTTCAATAAAACCAGCCATGCGATACGTGTGCTATAATGAAAACCGAATTATGAAAGCAATATCGTTAAATCCAACACGGACCATCCCTCCTCGAACCAAGCCTTCGCTAATCTTTGAACACCGAACACCCTACAACTCAACCGATCAATCCGGTGCGCAACAATATTTCTTAAGGTCCGTTGAAATCTAACGTCCATTCGATTATTTGCAAGAAATAACTTGGTGACAAAATGAGAGGTAGGACAAGTGACAGGGGATTATGCGAGTCATCAGGGAAAGCAAAAGAGGAGAGCAATCCGTACTCCATTGATTGTTTATACTGTTTCACTCATATTCCAATTAGTTCTATTTGACTAGAAGTTAAATCATCGTTATTTAACAACTGCCGTTGGGATAATTTTGATTGATATAGAAAAGCGATCACTGTTTGCAGTATGTATTCGAGGCTTATCATAGATCAGTAAGGACTGATTATCATAGGTCAGCAAGGATTACATTCTGCTGTCTGTCATGTCACGATGTAAACAAGTGGTTCAGTTATCCTGCACTGCAAGATTTTATAATTATTCCTCATGATTTTTATAACTGTAAAGTATTTAAGGAATACATTGAAGCATTCGAAGGTCATTTTACTACAGATTTAAGTGTGTGGTGGTTTTCCAGTAAGACTGTTTGCAGTCTTAGTTATGAAGGCTCATCATGTCCTCCTTTTTTTAAGGATTCTAATGGTAGTAAGTTATTTTACTATAAGTATGGAAGTTTGAGTTGATGGGAATGTAATTGTATTATGTATAGCAAATTGAGATACATGTTTACTTTCAGAATGAACTGAAATTTGGTCTCCTGTTCTATAAAAGTTGACAAATTCTGGAAAGATCACTCTCTGCTTTGCATCTCATTTTCCTATCATTTTTTTTAAACTTCAGTTCTTCTGTATATGGGTGTTAATATGTGGAGCAATTATGGCATCACATTATTCATACGGTAGCCGTGAAACGTTGATCATTGCCATAATATTGGATGCGTTACTAATGGTTTTTTGCATTTTCTTGATTGTCGATGTCTTGAAAAGATATTATCTGCAGTTTCCAGTGGTACTGTATGCTTATTTGATACTAAGAATCTTTCTAAAATACATGGAAAATTATGAGGATAATTTACGTGTGGTACTGAATACAATAATATGATTTTGGATTAGTAACTTCAGTGATTTGCGCTTAATGTCACCACAAAAAAAAAAAAAAAAAATAGCAAAAATATATATCAAACCAGTTGAATCAGATGCACTGGACTGGTTGATGTTTTCTATAATTTTACCGTAGCACTCCCTATGAAACAATATAAATGCTTTTGATTATACATTGTAACTTGGGAAAACTTCGGCCTTTCGAAGTTTTGAATTTCTCTGAAAAACGACACAGTAAGATCATCAGCCTTCAACTTCTGATTGGAACTTTTCTGTAAGAACGGAAATAGAATTACAGTGTTTCAACTAGAACCTCTTGTCTACTTAGGTGTACATTTTGGCAACAGGTCGCAACTAATTTCGCTCTAAGTAATGATAATTGTTAAAAATGGCAAAGACATATTCAAATCTTCTTTTCTGTGTCCTCACATCGTATGCATCTGTACTTCTTTTCTTATTAATCATTTATCTTAAATTATTCCATATGTAAGATAGTGCAGTTCAGTATATAGTCAATCTGTCAATAATTCGAGGATGAATTTATGAACTTAACAGCTCACACTTCAATCATTTGAGAAATGACAGTTCTCACATGTCAGATATTTCAGCTAGTATACATAACTCTTATCGCCGTTATTATTGCTGGAATTGTTTCATGGATGATTACAGCATCTGCAACAGTTGATGTAATGGGCACCGTAACTATCGTGAGTTCTCAATCTGTTGAAAATTATCGTAAAGAAGAGGATGGAGTCAAGCCCTCCTTTTCCTTTCCCATATTCTCGACATACGTCGATATTACCAAATGTCATGGATCTTAACAATTTTGTTGTGTTTTTAGAGATTATTGCTATGAGCCACTTCTTGCCAGCTTCTGACTTCCACATCTTGATATTATTACAAGCATTAAAATCAGTGAATTAGAGTTATTTTTTCAATACGAATTGATGACTAAAGGCAAGAGTGCTGCATTACGGGAAAGGGAAAATAGCAAATCGATGCGAACTGTTGGTCGAGTGAGATTTCTTGAAAGAAGAAAAAGTGTCAGTAAATTAAGTTTTAGGGCAATGCATGGCACACAGTTACATGTCTTATGATGGATTCTGTGACTCAGCGGTATGTAACGGGCTCAGGTCAACTTTTTTATACTCAAACATCATCACAAACACGTACTGGAAGCACAGTAGTATAATATATCTAATGTATTTGGTGTCATCGATAGGTAGCAGTAGTCCTATTTCCACTCTTTTTTCATGAAAACTTTTGGGTTCGGTTCCAATGTTCCCATAGGAAAAAGCAAAAATAAACACTTTCTTGGTTGCTTTGCGCTCTTACCATTCGTAGCATGAAGTGAACGTTTTAAGTTTCGCAGTTCTGCGTCGTATTTTTACTAAATCTTTTTTTTTTTCAACCATCAAATTACGTTTTGCAATATTTGTTCATGTACAACATCACGGAAATATTGAAAATACTTTAAATGACTTATTTTCTACTCGAAAGCTTTTAAGTAAACATATAAAACGTATGAGTATGGAAAGAACAAAAGCAAGCTTGCTGGACAACAGCTGGTAGAAAATAAAACGCAAGTTTCATACATCACTATAAATTTAAAAAAAAAAAAAAATTATCGAATAAATTGTTCATAAGATATGAACTTGAATTTGTTTCATTGTTGCAACATGTATCAAATCAATATTATTTTCGGCCTTTCAGGAAACTATCCAAATATTTCAAACTATCCAAATAAGAAGTTTTAAATTTCCCTATCAAAATCACTCATTTTCCGAAAGAGCAATACTTCGGAGCCACTGAGTATGCCCAGCTTTCCAGCATGAACAATACTATTCACTGTACCAGCCAGAAATACTCGTTTAAAACGAAGAAATCCTTTAGGCATAATGTGAAGCGCTTGTGCAATCGAAATTATCCAGTCAATCAAAGTCGAACTGCAATTAAATGTCAGACAGCTTCTTGTGAATTTTATCGTGCTTGAAAACGAAGTTTGGAAAAAAAAAAAAGGGATTAGTGAGTAGCTAGCGCTATACCTTATCTTTTTCATTTCCACTTATAATGATGTGAATGGACACTGAATACGTGCAATTAAGGAGAACGTTTTGGCCATCTACGGTTATTATTATTTTCCTACAGTAACATCATTTATCGTAACTGGGAAAATCAAATCAAAAGAAAAGCAAGCTGCACTTAAAATCGAGAAAGGGAAAAATTGTTCACCAAATAAATTTGAAATGAGTATTATATTGCAATATCGATTAGTGGTAGATTATGGGGAATGGAGATAAGAATGACTGTCATTATTTAAAAAATTATTTTACGAAAGCAATGATATAAAGTCTTGTTCAAGAAATTTTGCAAAGACACTGTCTATTTCTAAAGAAGACAGATATTGCTTGTTTCTAAAGATAACAGTATGTGAAAAGTAAATAGATTTCAATAAATTTTAACAAAAAAAGTTATGCCAAAAAAGGTAATGTCATATTCTTCCAAAAATATGGGTGTGAATTTGGGATTCTTCGTCCGTGAAGCGAGCTAAGCAGTGATGAGATAGATTCATCATTCAAATAAAATCAGTTTTAATAAGATTTTAACAAAGAGAAATTAAAACGAAACCAACCTAATAAGCCACATGAACAAAGGAGAATGGGAGAAGCAAAAGTAATAAGGATTTCCAGTTTCTTCGTCAAGATTGATATTTTCTGCCAGTTCCAAGCCATAAAGTTTTGCTGCATTGATTATTTCTTCCCTAAAATCGTAAATTTCAAGAAAGTGGATTCAAAGACTGTTGAAACAATATATGGGAATGCTCATTATCTTTAACTCCATTAGCATCAATGTCTGGTATATTTTAATATGTTTAATTCAAAGCTTGAAAAAACAACAAAAAAATATTATAGTTTTAACAAATACAAATGAAATCAAATAGTCATTTAAACGTACGTTAAGAAAAGCTTACTTGGTGTGTAAAGGAGGCATTCCACAAGCATACTCTAAATTCTTAATAACTGTTTTATGTTCCTTTGAGGAGGAATGATATTTATCAGTTTTCAGTAAATCATAAACAAGGAAAAAACCACCCGGACGCAAAATTCGATTTACTTCTTGCAGTGCTGGCTTTAAATCTTCTAAATATTTCAGTGCGTAGACCTAAAAAAAAGCACTAAAACTTAAGCTGACACTTTTCGGTGCACTTTCTACATCATGAATTGATATGGGAAGTTCCTCTAACTCAGAAATTACTTTAATCACCTAACGCATTATACGATATTTTATAAAGTATAATATTCGGAATGTGAGATATTGCTCAATTATGCATAATGCACGCTCATCGCATCAAACAAAGCATCCTTAATTAAGCTTACCGCATATGCGCAATCATAACGGTTGTCTACCAGTGGTAGGCAGCAATAATTTCCCTGCACGATGCTGCAGTTCTGGAGACCTTCATTTTGGAAACGTTTGTTCCCAATTATCACCTCGTTTCCTGCTATTGTTACACCAGTCAAATCAGCCCCAGTAAAGGCTAAATCATACATAACACCACCTATACCACATCCAATATCTACACACTTTTTGCCTGAAATTAAACTTTACGACCAGTTCCAGCACTACTGTAGTCACGTCATTTTTGCAAAACTAATCAAATGTAAATGCTACCTTTAGTAAGTTTCAAGCATTGACCGATTCGTTCATGAAGTTCTTGTAGTGCATCTGCGAGTGTTTGCTGTCTGAGACGAGGTGGAGCAAAATGAAAACTTCCGTTAAAATATTCATCAATAACGGTGGACATAACGGAGTAGTAATGCGCTGTAACCATTGAATAGTCTGATTTTGCTTCTGCTTCTCTGTATAATCGGTCATGTTCTTCAGCAAATGTTTCCTGAATTTCAAATTCATCTTCCAGTTATCGCAAAAGGCAAGGTTAAAATGAAGATTCTGAAGATCCCACATCGTTTGAAAACTCAAAATTTTTGGTTCAGAACATTTTTTATTCTGCCCTACTCCAAATTCAATTCTTCTTTAAGCAAATCGATTTTATCCTAAATATATGGCGCAATTCTTATCCATTAACGAATAATTTACATTAGCTTTATCCTCTCGATAGAACGAACTATTGCAAATACAATCACATTCTGCAAATGATAAATGAAAAATTCATGGGGTGGAAATCACACAATGAGAACAAAAGTACTTGAAATACTCAAGATTTTCTTTGCGATATACTAGGGAACAAAAAAGTGCAATCAGAATAAAGGAGTGAAAGGACATAAAGTGAAAGTACTCTTATACATTGCATATGAATTCGCCTGGCACTCGTTCATTTTTGGATCCAAATTTCCGTCCCGAATTTAGGCATAGCTCTTAATAGAATGCTTTTACATGCGATATAACGTAAACCAAATATCATACGTTTAAAGTTGTTAACAAGACCAAACATTGAAGAATCTTCTGGAGAAAACTATATACACTTCGGAAAAATTGCTTTTTTATCTTGAAATCGTCCTCTATCAATTGTTAAAACAATTATATAAAAAGCTGTACAGTTGTATTTTTATTTGTTTACTTCATAAAAATCCGAAAAAACCATCAGAGCTCATATTTAGATTTAGGAAAATCGCAAGTCATAAGTGGCTGAACAAGCAAATGATTTCATCTGCAGATTCAAACAGTTAAAGAATTTGAAATTCCTTGTACAATATGAAAGGCAGTAAAACAAAAAAGGCTTTAAAGATCTTGAAAAACTAACAAATCTTGTGCCCCTTCTGAAGAAATAACAGATGTCTTATTTGACAGAAAAAAGCAAGTTACCAAATCTTCTCGTCGAAAATGTCGTAGTAATTTCAAAAATTTCGACGCCAAATTAATCGACATGATGAACAGAATGTTATACACGAAATGATCGTTTTTCTGTGGACGAGGGATTCCGCGAAGTGATCATGAAAGTCGGTATCGGTACCGCATCGCAACACTATCATGATTGTAACGGTCCTGCCTCTTATCACCCATGCAAAAATAAGGACAGGACTATGCCGGGTGTGTCGGTATACGCATACATACAAACACATACATACATACACATACACACACATCTACAGGAAATATTACAACTGCGATTACAAATGTCTTATACGGCGCAAAGGACACACAGAAAAACTATACCTTTCTATACTCATCATCTTCTAATCATGAAAAATCTTAAATATACAGATTTTTCGATGAAATTTCTTAAAGAAGGGGAGATTTTTTTAAGATGACATAGAGGGACATGAAATATCGATTTTTCAAGTAGTTGACCACAAGAGTAGGAAAATGATTTCCATTAATATAGCCATGTGTCTGTACATACAGTCAAGTGTCCAAAATCAATCCTCATTTTTTGTTTAGCAAAAAACATGCAAGTTATTAAAACCTGATTTAGATGAATATATATTACCAAGCGCGACATGTATACATATTTCTCTAAAACGTTGATAAGTCTGAAAACATCAAAACTGATCACTTTTCTTTAATTGTTCGCATTGGAAACAGGTAAACGAAGGATCAGTGTTTTGGTGAGTGCAGCTGCACGGATACCGCTGTAGCCCTGAAAAAATTTTTCAATTTGCATATAATTACAAAATGATAACTTATGAAGGAGTAGTAAATCAATCTTTCAAATCCCAATTTCTTTTCTGATTTACTTCAGTAAAAACTTTTATTTGTATGGCTATTAATCAACATGCTATTATTAATTAATCAGATACTAACAGCAGAACTATAATTTTCTACAAAAGGCTCATTCTAGGATTAAGGAGACATGAATACCAGAAAAAAATACAAATGTTTCTGGGATATATGTCTATAGTATTTTCGACAAGTTTGACTAAATAAAAACTGAGTAAGTAACTGAATAAATATTATCCAACTAGTTCATCTCAAAAGAAAAAGAAGATTTACAAAACAAACCTGCCACACACGACTGGCGCGACTTTGTCCATGCTGATAATCTGCAATACCACGGATTAGTGCCCAACTATCAATTCGTGAGCCATTCACGGCGGCAATAACGGAATCGAAGCCAGCATCAATCGCACGCAAATTATAATTTGCGGCAAATTTATCACGAAATTGAGCAGTAGCACCGCTTGTATCTTCACCAATCTCAAACAAACTGCTGTAAGAGCTCATCAGCAATCTTCGTTCTACCTTTGCATTTTAAACCACTATCATAACTTATTATTTGTGTATTGTATATTTGTATATTTTCTTCTCAGATATTTTGTTTAGAAGGAAAAAGAAGAGTAATATGTTCCACTTGGGCAGGTTTGTAGTTAGAATGCCGATTTATGGTTTAGGATAAAAGCATAAGTGAATCTTTGATAAAATATAAGAACATATCTTTCAAAAAATGAAAAAAAAATGAACGAACGGAAGTAGAGCTGTTAAAATATAGAACGAAAGCAGAAAATTTTGACACGTAATTGACAGATTTGAAGAAAATATTCAGAAGAAATTACCTGCTCTTCATTGGCAAGTGTCTGTTTTCTATATGAAACCATTGCTCCGATGGAACCAACATGAACTACCGAGTCAACTCTTTCTGAATTAGGATGTGGAATGACAACTACCTGCCCACCACCTAGAATAAAAACGAAATCATTCCAAATCCTGTCTAGTAGCCGTGTACCTGACTAGTATGCTTTTATTTCTGCAATTTTCAAACTGCAAACTCTTCTCTTACAAGACAATGTTTATTTTGATTTTAAATCATATTGACTGGCTTCTCTTTGCAACTTAACTTACCAACAGGCACAGCCAATAGATCGGCTTGTGGCGGTGGTCTTGAAAAACTCATGTCGCTATTGGCAGCATCCAAACGATCAATGGTTGTTTTGGTTATCGAATTCCATTCTGCTATCATTTTTTCGTCCCTAAAAATTCAAAAGAGTAACAGATTGATTTCGTTTAGTTGATTGATCACAAATATTTCAAGCCTTTTACAGCTTATTTAGTGGCTATGCTATTTATTTGTCCAATCAAAATTCATTGTTTTTAGTTTCTATTCAAATGTTCATCAAAACTGCGAGCAAATCTTACATATTTTTAGCAATATGAGTAATGATTGCATTTTGAGGATTCCAATTTCGAACTAAAAAGCCATTCACGTGTTCTGTTGCTCTATCAACGGTATAGGTATGCGCAAACACATAAGAATTCGGTTCCGGACCGCTTACAACGACGTCACCCAGACGTACGTGGCGTGTGGCATCCGTGTAATGAGCAACACCTCCACCAACACCGACAATAAATACATGCTCAACGTGTTGAAAATTACCCAAAAGACGAGTTGTGATAGAGCCGGAAGATGTTGTTGCTTCACGACTATCCCCTACAAATCCATAGTACCGAATACAAAGGATGAATAGCTAACAATTTTTGGAGAATCTATCACAACTAAGTGAACAAAAGCCATTACCTCAACGATAATTTATCCTTATCACTTTTTAATATGTCGTCGAATTATTAAGAACGACTATTATCGTTTTCTAAAACCTTTAACTCTTCTTATTTTTCTCTGCTGATTTGATGGTCACTTATTAAAATCTAAGTCACTGAAACTTCATTCGATATAGATAGGAAATACGCGATAATTTATAACCAGACCTATAAATCGAACTACAAAAAAAAAAAAAAAAAAAAAAAAAAAAAACGAAACACAAACCAATAATTGCCAATTTTGTAGCAACAACCCGATGTTTCCCGATCCATCCAAGGGTATAAATATTAGAGTCACCACCGGAACGGTAACGATGAACGGTTGTACTATTATCAATGATCGCATCAATGCTCTGTTTCTCAGTAAACAAGCACGTTAAGATAGCAACAGTGGGATGATCACGCGAACCGAAGCTGGTTGGAGTTCGAGATAATTCAACTGAAGGACGAAACGAGAATGAATAAATTTGAAAGTTTATTTTCGTTTACGCGAATCCATCCATCATAAAATTTATAAAATTACATATAACGTTCCCAAAATCAAGAATGACAGCGTATTTTGACGATCACCAAAAAAATTTTTCATTCCCAGAATGTTCCGTCTAAAGAAAGATTTATTTCTTTTTCGCTGTTATTATCTGGGGAAACAGTCAAAACTATATTAAAAGTTTACACATTAAAAAACTTACTGCTGTCAACAGCATTTACACGAATCCATTCATTCTGCAACTTTTGTACAACACCAAGTGTTTCTAATTCACAAAGAAATTCATTAACTTCTTTATTTGTACAACGCAGGGATCTAAAATTTGAAAATTTAACCAATAAATAATTTATGAAGTAACAACCCAAAACATATTTGGTGAAACATTGTTATCAACAATGAGACAACTGGTTTCTTTCTTTCGAATAATAAGTAGATAATTCTAAATTTATAATTTGGAATATGCTCGATGAGAATGAAAGGATCTAGAAAAGAGAGAATAATTCAGAAATCTAATTACTACACTTTTAAAAATATAACCACAACTTACTCCGCAATAATATCCACAGATAAGCCATTGGGATATGCATGTTCCAGAACTTCCTGTACATGAGCTATAGTAACATTTTCAACTTCAGAACCAGAATCTGGGACGAAATTGAATAAAACAGTTAATGAATAATTGATTTTAACTCATCAAATACCATTTCATAATCAATCAAAATATTAAAGTATTCTGAAGAACCAAAAAGACCACCTAAATATTTACATGATTTTATTAAAGATTCCCAAAAGACACACTTTGCACTTCATCCCAAACAGTTTTGTCTAAAATTTATGGTATAAAACCTACCATATTGCTTAGGATCAGGCATTTGATATGTTTCATTTTCTTTCGCAAACTGCATGTCAATTTCGATTTCTCGCAGTGAACCATAACTATTTTGCATGAGCTTTAAAACTCGCTTTAGAAACGTCACATAATCTGAAATATATCTTGATATTTGTTGGTTTTGAAAACTTCGCAACGAAACTCTCAATTTTTTCTTGGAAAAATCGAGTTCCACTTTTTCTTGAAGTTACACGCAAAAAAAGTAGTCCTCACATCCAAGCATCAAATGACACAACATCTTAAGTTTCAATAACAGTGCTGTCCAGCTGTTCAGAAGAACAAATAGTATATTCATCTAAAAATTTTTTAAAAACAAAATTACCTCTTGGAAAAATACTAACAAGATCCCGGAAGAATTGCTGAGCTACAGCATGCTTGTCAGCATTTTCAGTGTCTTCGAAAAACCGAAAACGAAAGCAACGGTTTTCCTGGAAAGATTCATTTCTTTTTGTAAACAGATAAAGAAATTATGTTACCAATAAACAGAAATATATTTCATTTCCTTAACACTAGTAAAAAAAAGATGTATAAAAATTTCATATACAAATCGTCATCACCAAATGCTCTCATTAGAAATGTAATTATGAGATGCTAAGATCTTAGTAGAATGCAGTGTCAGATTACACTATGTTTTTTTTTTTTTTCTAATATCTGAGGTAAAGGGTAAGGGACATTAATAGATAAAAGAAAGCACACATACAAAGAAATGAGAAAATGAAATTTTTGGTACTGTTACTTTATTTATTAAAGTATTTGCTATTTAGAACCAATAACTAGATGACATCCGGCAATATTGACCATAAGTAATTTATGAAACTTAACCTGCTTCTTCATATCCCCTTTTCGTAGCCACACGGAAAAGCTGAGCGATATATCACATTTTAAATCTAAAATATAATTAAGGTTATTTGACATGAAGTTGTAAAATAGTAAAAGATTCAACAGTTTTTCTTTAACACTATGCACAAATTATGCAGTAATTATACGAACTTGGTTTCCCATTGATAAGCTTATTGATAACAATGCCAGTATGCTCTCCACCTGCAACATGAAGTATTTGATTGTATTTAACATCGACGTTCCTGAAAGAATCTATTTGAAAATTATTCAGAATTTAAGTCGAAAATACCTCCTTTTTGTGTTATATGTTGAAACTGGAGGTATTTGAAGAGAACAGTATGAATTAAGATGACATGAGAGTTTGGTGCAATGAAAAGTCAGCTCTTCAGACAATAAATTTGAGACAGATACAGGGGCATTTAAACATTTTTTTTCCTGAGAATTTAAAAGTCATCTTTTATATGGCCACAGTTTCAACATATAACACAAAAACTCAGTTTTACAAGATGTAATAAGTTTTTCTATTTGTAAAGAATATGAGAGATGTCCATAGTTTCTAATGAAAGAGGTATAGCGAGTCCTTTACTACCTTAACTTTTCCTTATTCCTTATTCAAGTAATAGCTAATTTTTTTTTCAAAGCTTGTGGAAGTTTTCGTTTAATATTTTAATGGAATGACATTTTTTCCACTAAGGAACAGACCTTTCTATTCCTTAATTTTATAAATAGAAAAGTGAGAAACAAGTCAAAAATTCTCCTTTCAGAAACTCAAATAAAAAATGAACAACGAATATTGTTCAAACGTAATTTTTCCATACAGCTCCCAAAATCATCCTTTTTCCATCTTATATTTTTTTCTTGCATTGATTTGGTCAAACTCACCGTGAAATAAGCACCACATTATGTTCCGAACTTTGTACAAGCGGTGAAAGTACCACAAGTCCACCGGAACGGGGCACCTTTGTTGCCACCATTTTCGAAACAACCGCCACCGTGAACCAAAAAAGCCTTTTTCACTTATTGCAACACTTCCACAAGTGAGTGACCTGAAGGGTTGCAAACCTTGCTGAGATCTGCCCATATCATAGACTATATTTATAGCAAATGACGCCTGTTTAAATCAAACGCACTTTAAAGCTCACAGTAACACGAAGTCCTGCCGAAAAAGGACTCTCACAATATGACGTCGTCAATTCAGAACCAAATATTCCTAAACTATAATACACTCCTATGTGCCATTAAATGGCAAGAGAAATCACTAAAACATGAAAGACTGCAACAAAAAAGACAAACCGAATCAAAAGAAAAAATGAATGAAAAAGAACTTATGGCATACTCTCACTTTCGAGTCATCTCAATTTATTAAATGAAATTCATAATGCTTTTAACAACACTCGAAAAGCTTCCAAGTCCAAATTTTATTCTTTAGTTACGTAGAAATGTCTGCGGAACTGGCTGAGACCGCTAGTAATTCCCCGCCCGTAATTTGAAAACTTGAACGGAGTGCAATTTCGGACTATCTACAATGTTATTCGAAATCGTCAGATTGGCTAACAGATATATATGATGTAGGACTAAGTTGCTATTTGATTCGGTGTAAATAAATTTTAAGTGAAAGCTTTTCAATTAGTGGTCAGTCCAAATTAAACCTTAGAAGACATTAAATCTGTCTAATATTTAAGAATCATTAACGAAAAAAATTATTGTATTGAAAAAACCTTCGCAAAATTTCGATAGCAGTTGCATTCTGCTACAAAATCGACCATTCCTATAAAAAAAAAAAAAAAAAAGATAAGCATACGAATAGACAAATAAGAAATTTGTGGTTGCGTAATACTTCCGTAAATGTAATCATAAATGAAGCGATTTACTATTTCACGCGAATTTTGTTTAAATCGTTTAAATCGAGTGCAATCCATTAGATATTTACTGTGCACTTCAATACTCTCTATCTCTTAACAGCTATTTCTCGTCTGTTACTTTTCCGAAATTTTATCAGGAAACGGAAAACTTTGCGGTTAGAATTTCATTCTTGCAAATTATACTGATATTCTCAACGAACAATCGTTACCCGCGCACTAACGATCATTAATTTGAAATATACCGAAGAAAATTCAAATTTTCAAATAATAACTGAACTGAAGAGGACGAGAACTTCAAAACATATGTTGTCAAACGTAATAAAATAAAGTTAGAAGTAGTTTATCGTCTATATTCCAAGCAACTACAATGATCTCTTTCTCACGCAGTGGATTTTGTTTTATCGCAATTAGTATCCATGAATTTAATCAAATGAGTAGTAAGCCTAAGAAAAAGTGGAACATGAAGTTTAAAAGATTATTCACGCTATATTCTTATTTTAAATGTCTGGAAATTGTTGGAGTAGATGAGTTTTCTTTTTTTGAAATTCAATATATCGTAAAAGTTTGTGCCTGGAAGAAAACATTTGGTTTCTTTTTTCGTTTCCTCATCTGTTCTTCTGAAAATTATAAAATTTTGTTGGGATTCTTATCCAGCAATTTTTTCCCCCAGAAAGACGCAAAAGTTCCTCAGCACAAAATGTTGTAAGGTTTAAAATGAAGAACACATAAGGATCAATATTGCAATGAACAACATTCAGAGGAACTTCTTCCTGCGACCCTACCCATCTTAACATAACAGTGTTAAGTGAATGAATGTTGAAAGAGAAGGTCCCAAACAATTTGCAATTCCACGAATGATTGATATCTTTTCTCCAACTTTTCTCATTCTCAAAGAATGAATTCCATATCAATGATACCAGTCGTTATTAGTCAATTTTGAAAGTAACAATTCGAGACGCGCAGTGGTTAAATAATCTCTCTTTGAAGATCTTATCACGGCACAAACATTCCTGAAGTGTCCCGTCACCTCATTATACCTTCGTTATTCCTCCTTAATGAGCAGTAATTCCAATTACTAATGCACTGACTTCACGTTATAGATATGTGATTCCCTACGGACAGTCAACTCAATTCACATTCATGACAGAACACAAACGTTTCTATCCCGGAAGAGTTCAATTATGAGCGGGCTGCTGTGACACCACCTCGTCGATCATATCAAATTGTCGTTCCTCCACTTTTATCAGCGTTGGCTCATTGGTTCTCACTGCTGAAACTGGAAGAATCTTTTACGGCACTGGTGACATGTACTTTAGCAGTTAATTTCCGATTTTGAATTATTTCTCACTCCTACAATGATTTTTTATGATGAACTAACCGAATGAAAATTGCTGGTGGAACTATTTAGCATGTCCCAGAAACATTAGCAAACAAGATCTTAAAGCGTTTAACAACTTCTGGAAACAATTCAGCATTATGTCTATATGCACGCACAATAATCCTAAAATATTATTCATAAGCTAAATAATGAGCAAATGCTAAGATGTTCTACTTCACACCCGCGTGATTTACATGAGAATTTCACATTGAATAAGATGGAAATGTGATGTCATTTCAGCTATTGTAATGACACATTCATTTCACATTAGCTTGTACATTCTCGACAGTCTCTTCAAAATCAAGAGTGACATCCTTTGGCTGCTACATCTTACAAAAACAATATTCATCCATTTCGAAACAAATTTCTCAAATTCGCATGTTTGCAGTGAAATAATTGAATTATTGAAAAAAAAAAAAAAAAAAAAAAACTTCAAATTATTGAAATGTTTTCAGTAAAGAAGTTGCCAAATAATTAGAAATAACTGTACTTATTCAAACTTATTCAATCAAATTGGTTGCCATACATTAGACTTCAAAATTTAATAGAATTTTTTTGGATATTTTTCAAAATTCTTAGAACTTAGGATAATGTCTCAGTAACATAAATAACTTATAGCGATCATCAGCAAATCAAAACTAAATGAAAGCTGATTTTGAAATTTCTTGAAATTGAACAATGTTTTAAATAAGAAAGACTGCACTCAGTTCAATAAAACAGAAGTGTTGGAAAATATAACTAATTCAATTGTAAACAAGTGGTTCAGTAATTAAAACCACTTCAGATATTTTCATTTTAAATCAAAAGTGTGGATGAAGAGGACAAACATGATAATTCACTATCCACGAATAACTTTTCAAATCCTTGACAAGAAAGTTTGGAATCATTTTCAAAAGTGAAGACAGATGATATTTAAAAAATAACAGTATGATATTTTTTTTTGTGAAAAAAACATTTCTTTCCTCTCCAGAATTATTTCAAATTGCTCTACGGATTTGCCTTACGTCTCACAGTGAACAGTTTTATGCAAATTCCAATCTCTTTTTAATAAAAAATGCCATGAGAAATCTGAAATTTCCTTTTAAAGTATATTGAATCAAAAAACATTTCAACTGTATATATTTTCATGATATGGGCTATTCTGATGAACACTTCATTTGTTTTTGTCTCTTTGTTAGTCTCGATTGCATTTTTGCGTAACATTAGCTTTTCTTAAACACGTATCCGAAATAAATGTCAAAAAATTAGAGAAGTGTGTCGAAAGAAAGAGGAACTTAAAAAAAAAGGAAAGAATAACATCAGAACTGACATGCAAAAGTCCCATTTGTGTCTTCAATATTACCAGAATTCTTTCACTGCATATATTTGTGCAGTGCAGCACGCACTCAGTACTTCCGACTTTCCTGATTTTAATTTTCATATTTAGACTACTTATCACTTTAATTTGAAGACTATAAATTATTCACTGCATAAAAAAAAGAGAACCGACTCTCTGCCTTTCGTGCATCTTTGATTTTGTCACCCGCTCTAGTTCAATACCAATGAAGTCAACGAAATTTGCTTCTCATAAATTTATCTCTGTACTACTCTTTAATAATCGTTAAGTTGTAAAGTGTAATGTTATAATTTTCAGAAATCATAAAAAGGTTTGGAGTAACATATCTGCTCACCACAAAAAAGATCAGAAGAAAAAGAGACCAAAAATTCCATCCACCTTTTCCATTCCGGAAAAACCTCTCACAAACACTGAGAAACTTGTCTAAATCAAGAACAACAAGTCGCTTTGACTGGCAAATGATAAAAACCCACAAGAAACTGCATTGTGCTAGATTTTCTCAGCTTTAGATCCATAACAAACATATTTTTTCGAAGATGTTATTAGTAATTCTCATTTGCTCACTATGGACACTATGAATTTTTCACACAGCAGCTAAATATACGTTCACTTCTGCACAAAACAAAAACTATAAAGTTTCTGGAAAAGCACCGACAATATTTCTTTCAAAAGACTTCGGAAGTAGATTTTTCTGAGGAAATTGTAAACATGAAAAGACTGATGCGGTGAAATACAGCAGAAAAAGGAACAGAAGCTTCCCCACTCACAACTTTCTGTGAATATATTGAAAATAAAACTCACTGGTATTTTACTAAGCATATTTGCCAGAGTATAAAAAAAGGACGTTTATAGATGAGTGAAATCTTATTTCTTGGTTAACTGCAGAATTAGCTCGGATATCCGCATTAACTGTCAAATCATACTTGTGTTAAGTAAGTTTTTATGGGATGATAAAGTCTAAGATCAAATTTGTTTATCGGCGCATTTGGTATTCCTAGTTGCAAAAATGATTCGAACAAACGAATTAACTACTGCTTTCATAACTATAGTTCGCTAATTTCACGTAACGAATATGAAATGTTCAGTAGTAGTGTTAACAATCTTATTCCCCAATTTTATAAATTAAATGCTGCAAATGGCTTAACAAGAGTCACTTAAATCGAACTTTCAGTATCGTCAATCTCTGTGGAAATTATTAGGTAAATGTGTCACAAAAACTAGAGCACAAGCATAAATTGCAGACAAGCTTGAGGTAATCGAAAAAAATTGCAACAAAGTAAAGGCATGCCTAATATAAACACATATTATCATTCAAATATTATATCCAAAGAAAAATTCTAGGACATCATATAACTTCTCTGGAAATGACAGCACATCGCAAACCATAAAGCTATTTGATAGTTTAACAGTCCTTAATTTGACATCATGTATTAGGTAAATCTAAATAACCACTACTAAAACGGGTTCAGCTATCTGTCATTACTGCTAAGGTATTTCAAAGCAGATTTATATAAAGTGACTTAATTTATTAATAACCAAAACGAATTCAAAGCACTGCTGCGACAATAAAAACTGTATAATAAAAAGACAATAAATAAATATATATTAGATGTCATTACATAAAAGATATCATGAAAGAATATTCAGCTTTTTCATCGCGAAGTGTGAATTAAAACCGGTAACGAAGAGAATGGTATAAGTGGAGTTGAGGAATTTAGAGCTGAGGCGATCGAATAACATTCTAGAGCTTCTTCAAAACGCCCATCTTCTGACAGGATCAATCCAAGCGCTTGCCATGAATCGTTATGTAGTGGATCAATCTGTACAACATCTCTGAAGGAAACGTAAATTTTAGATGATGCAAATAGAATAGGGTATACAATGATGCAAAAGCAAATAGTACAAATAAAGAAGGCAGTACGAAACAAAGTTATCTGACCCAGAACTATCTACAGTTCAGTAGATGAGCTTAAACGAATACGCCAAATTGATTTGTTTCCAATATGCAAAAAACAGGTCATAAAGGTTTCCTAAAGTAAAATATTCAAACATATTTAAAAAACTACAATAGTCAAACCAATCTGATTGCTTCAAATAAAAATACCTTTACTTATAAACCTTTACTAACCTCAACATTTTCTCAGCCATGGGAATATTTCCCTCCAATCTGTAAATACGAGCTAAATGTCGCAATGATGACACGTGAGAAGGCGCTATTGCAAGTGCTCCCAACAAGGAAGCTTTTGCATCACTTCGCAAATGCTCACATTTCGCGGTATTCTCACACTTAGCTGCTCGAGCTGCTAACAAACGACCCTGAAGCAGAAACAGTCTATAACAACTTCGCTGAAACATAAAAAATATCAACAATGAACTATGATATACAAAACATAAGACTCTTTTAATTTTCCTACTAACATACTTCAAAATGTATAAAGAAAATGAATAAAGTCATAAAAGGAAAAAAGAAAATCCATGTGATGAAAAAATTATTTTATCCGAAGATTTAGGTTATTGCACGAAACCTTAATATATAATGCTTGGTGTGAACTTGGATATAAAGCAGATGCCTCCTCAATGCATGGTCGCACATCTTCCATACGACCAAGATCAAGAAAAAGTTCAGCAAGTTCAAGCCAAATATTTGCCTAAAATAAATACGAAACATGTTCACATAAAAATTTTTTAAAATGAATATAGATAGACAGAAAGTGAAACGAATATAGATGGATGAAAATTATAAAAATTATGATGGTGAGATAGAAAGAAAAAAAAAAGAGATTTCGGAAAATGATTTGGCCAGATAAACAAAAAAAAAAAGATTGTAGAATCAAAAAAGCAGCACAGATACCTTCATCATGAAATGTGTTTCCATAGTTCTTGATTGTCTAGAGCACAGTGAAACGGTCGAGGTTCCATAATCGGATGTCCCCTGAGTTGTATATACGGATCCATTATCTAAAATACATGAATTATAAATAAGATAAACATCACAGTCTGCGGATCTGCAGTACTTTCGCAACAGAACGAAACCCACACAATAAACCTTATCAATTAAAATTAGATTTTTCTAACTGATTTTTCTCCAGAATTTCATAATAAAGCCAATACCAGCTTCAAGCAGTATCATGTATTAAAAGACATTCTGTCACTCTTACATCTTAACTGAAAAAAAATATGACACACCAGCAGTATCGCTGGCTCCCACACTAGCAGACATGCTCGCAAGCGCAGAGGATGATAAAATACCCAATGAAGCCGCAGCAATATATGGTGTTGCTGTTACAGCATCACGACTGCTCAATGAACGCAACAAACTTTCATTCCGCCCATTTTTCTGACTTTCTTCGCTTCCTGAAAAAAAGATATTCGCCAGATTTATTTCATTCAACATTCTATTCTAACAGCTGGTAGATTTCGTACAACTTAATGATGATGTCACGTAAAAATAATATAAATCTGAGAAGTTCTATATTTTTAGCGTTTGTAAGAAATGATACAAAAAAAAAAGAAATGAAAGTAAAAATTTTGGAACGAAAAACAACAGTACCAGTTCGTACAATGTGCGTATTCGATTCTTCGAAAAAACTTGTTTCTCGACTTTTCCAAAAATATAGCAAATGGTGCGATGATGCCAAGGCTTCGTCAACACGACCTATTTAAAAAATAAACAATAAATCTGCAGTTTTCGATAGTGATATATGAAATTAAGTGCCTCTTCTCACCAAGACAACTGTTAGATTTTGAAATGGCTAAACATGACGGGAAAACACAGTAACATTTAAGTAAACTGCCTACAAACAAAAAACAAATAATGACTATATTTTTTAAAAGTTAGAGGGAATGTATGATATTAAGTAGAATCAATGTACATTATTAAGTAGGATGGAAGTAATTAGTTTTTGTAATTTCTTAGAAAATTAAAAATTTACCGAATTTAATTTCAAGCATTAACTTAAGCACAGTAAGTGGATAATTGGTCGGGAAATCTTCTATAGCATCGATAATCAGTTCGAGTGCTGCTTTATAATCTTTCTGGGCAGTAAAAATTAATGCAAGAAGCATTATTGCGAGTGGCATTTCCGGATTCAATTCCAACGTTCTTTCACACCAATCACGAGCTACTTGTAAATCACGGGCTGAAAGGCACTCTACAAACTGGAAAAAAGAAAAAGGAAATTCAAACTTCAGATCTTGTATGGTCAAAAATAAACTGTAAATCTTTCTAATGAGCATATTTCATAAAAACCAATTATTTAAAACCCATTTTTCACCTCAGCAACTAGATGTGACAATTCGAAAATTGAGACATTTTTACTGGAAAATCTTTAAAAGTTTCTCTAAAATTAACATATTTCCCTAAAAATATTATTTCCTTTATCATTTATTTTCGCCTTATTTTTTTAATTCAGCTGTAAGTGCTACAAAGTTACTCAGATCATGACATTAACAAAATTACGTCATATGTATTTATATTCATTAGTTTTATAGCAAAGGTACTGGAAGTAACATGAGAACAAGTGTCGGTATTGCGTTTCAGACATGATTTAGTTGACAGACCATGGAATGAAGGAAATGAATGCTACCAGCGAATTATGACATCATTAGGCAATTTTTATATGAAAGTTACTGGAAAAATTACAGCAAAAGTGTGTGGAACTTTCAGTCCATTTCCTAGCTTTAATCCCTCTAAATTTGTTCATGAAAGTTCACAAGAAATGTTAGAAATGAAAAGATACTTTTCTATGTAAAAATTAAAAGATTCTTCACCGATAGCATACTGCCGGGCACAATAATAATGAGTTAGATCATCGAGTGGATCCATTGCTGCAGCATCTTCAAATAATTTTATCACTTTCAGGCGCATTTCATTCCGATTGTTGTACCGAACTACTGTTTCTGCTTTCATGCTTCAAATAGTCCAATCATTTGAATGGTAGAATTATAGAATCACACATTCAAAATGCGAGAAACTGCTTTTTCGAGGGTCACGAAACATCACCCGCGGTATATTTTCGAATACTTGGTAATCTCTTGGTATCCTTGCAAATGAAATTTTTGGTGACCAGCTTTCTATTCTTCAAAATCTTGATTATAACCGTAAGAAAAAAAAGGCTTTTTAACAAAAATCGTTAATACCATCAGACAAATAATTAATTCTGTTCGTTCACAGTTTGAACATATATATATATATAGGTATATAAACAAATGTGTACATAAGTAGATGACTTCATTTTAATTACTGACTCACCTCAGTGCAACAGCTTTCAACAGCAAACATCGTCCAGCAAGCCAATTCCCTTCGCACAATTCCATAGCTTTTTCAGCATGAACTACAGCTAAAATAAGATCACAAAACATATTGTTTTTTAGAAAATGTCAGCACGAACAAGCCCGGAACATTGAAATATACTTATTTGAAAAGGACAAAGTTATAAGACGCTTCTCTATGCTTGATTTACGAAAACACTCGCAGAATAAAATCTAGTATATTATAAAGTGACTGAACATAGGCCAGGAAATTTTTATAAACATGATGTAACCGAGATTTTTTTAAAAAAACAACTTTCTTACTATCTTACCTTCATCATATTGGTCAAGATGCTCAAGCGCGACGTTGGCAGCAAAAATATGCTGTGCAAGAGCACTATCATCATATTGTTCGATAGCTAAGCACTGCGACAAGATCCTAGAAGCTCTCACATATCTTCCATGGCAAAGTAACGTCAAAGCGAACTGGAACCTGGAGAAGATTGTTGACACCACTAAAAGTATCTACGGGAATATTTCTAAGGGAATACTAAAAGTTTTCAATCAAAAGATTAACCATAAATATTTATCTTCGTTCGCAAATTTCATTGCTTTTTCATGAATACTTGATAAAAGTTCGTATTGTCGCAGAGCAGATAACACCTAAATAATATCTAAAGTTGCTTAAGTATTTTCGGAAAATGCCTGTAATAATTTATTAGCAAATTAATAATCGCTTGAAAGGATGCTATTGTTTGAAGCTTATTTTGCATTTCAGCGCAATCTTACAATGCAGTAAAGAGATTTTCTGATACTATATTTTTCAGATCTGTCATTTTTATTTTTCAGATCTGTCATTTCAGATCTGTCACGCTAATTATCTGAAAATGCCTACCGCTAAAAAAATAGAAAAGCATTCAGCTTCATGTATATGGGGGGAAAAATTTAATAACTTGAACATCAGTAAACACTGTTGTAAGACAAAATTATTAAATCTTTAGAAGTTTTGAAGTGATTGTTTAATTTCAATTTCTAATAAGTAACATAAGATCTCTCTTTGAGAACCTTAAAAACATATACTGTTTGAATAATTGTTTCAGAATGGAAAAATGTTTTAAACTGAGAGTTCAGAGTTCTGAACAAAAAGATGAATTATTTGAATATTTTCAAAAAAGAAAGAATCGAATCGAACCAAAGTAAGTAAATTATACACTGATTTGGCTACGTGTAGTGAATTTTGACGACTAGTCGTCAACTCTTCGGCTCGATTCAATACAACGTCTTTTGTCGCTAGAACCTAAAATAATTTCCAAGCAACAGCATCGGTTCTATTTATGATATGTCGCAATATACAAAATTAGAAACATTTATTTACCTCGCTAATTAGTAATAACAACAAGATTTCTTCAATCCTCGAAGCGGGTGAAAAATAACTCTTGTGTGAGCCAGTATAAAATCTGCAAAAATATCTGGCTGCAACTACTTTAAAACTAAAACGACGAACAAATTTCTATAAGTAATTCAATATGGATATCTAAAACGAGGCGATGTGAACGGAATTATGCGATTACTTCATCAAGCATCGTGACGCCGTAATCCGTCCTACAAAAAACTACCAAATACAATTTTTGCATTTATGAGAAGTACAAAGAAATTTCGTTTCATTGTCCAGAAACATAAGTTCGTAGTGGACTGAAATCTATTAGATTTTATACCCTAAATAATATTTTTTATTAAAAAATAGTCAGTAATGTTGATAAAACTTTCAAAAAAAAAAAAAAAAAAAAAAAAACTGAACAAACAGATTTATTAGAAAACCTTAGGTTTTGTGATTTTGTGCTAACAGATTGTGACTCCATGTAACCACAATCCGGCATACCTCTGATCAACACTTCCGCTAACTGTCGACTTAATCTGAAAATCTGCTGAACTAAAAATTGGAAAATTAAAGCTTGTAAGAAAACGTAGAAAAATAGCTTTTCATTTCCGGCATTTCTTATGAACTTTCACGACTAAATTTCCACAAATTTTAAAGTTGAAAAATGAACTAACTGATCGTTACACACCTTTGTTGCAATTTTTCACCCACTACTTTATCGCCTAATGATGTCATAATTCGGCGATACCATTCAACTCCTTCATCATCCCATGGTCTATCAATTAAATTCTGTCTCAGACGCAACATGGGTACTCTTTCTAATGTTGTTTCCAGTAACTCTCCTAAAATTGAATATAAATACAGCGTTGTAATTTTATTAATAACATGAGTTGTGTAATTCTGTAGCTTCTCACAATTCATTTACTGCAATGAATTAAAAAAAAAAAAATAAGACGAAAACAAACGATGATAAAGTCATGAAGGAAATAACATATCACAATTACCCATTCTGTCAACATGGTGCTTTCCATTCGTTCCATTGGTACTTGACGAAAGCATACCACTCCCTAAACTTTAGTAAGTAAAGCCAACGAAAACAATCTTAATTTTAACAATTTAAAGATACGGAAAAAAGTACTAACTGCTCTGTAAATTTATTGACTTTTCGAGCTCCTGAATATACGATATTGCAAGTTCCGCTGACTTTTCGAAACAGAAAAGTGCCCTCATCCGAGATTTTTCCAAATCTTGCTTCTTTAAACGCTTCATCGTTGCCTCTAGGGAAAACCCTTTAAAATCATATCTGAACAAACTTCATCTACATTAAAACTAATGACGTAGGTTTCCAATGCACTGACCGAGATGTTATAAAGTTACATTTAACATATATTTCTTTCTTTATAAAACAAAATAAGTTTGAGTAGTTGGTGATCATATAGAATCTCCAAATAAATATAGAAAATCTGGTGTGAATATCTTCTCAGCGAAAGTACAAGTTTTTATACCACATTATCCAAAATTTCCGGATCCTTACAGACCCACTAAAAAAATTTCAGTACTTAAAAAAAAATCAGAACCTTTTATAGCATAAGCCTCCGCAACCAAGCGCAGATCGCGTAGTGATTCAAATGGTGTATCGCCAAATTCCAATCGAGAATTATCAATATCTTTCATCGCTTGCTCATAGTCTGCGCTGCAAAAAGTACTCATGTTTCTGGTAAATATAAAATTTAATTTTTTTTTAAACTTTGCAATCTTCTAATTATTTCTGTTTGACACTGACATCAAAAAACTGCTCAAATATTATTCAGGAAAATGAATTTTGGAAATTAGCCTTATATCATAATTATGTGTTATTTATCACATCCAAAATGTCAAAAAACTGATTTTACATTAAATTTAACAAAAATAGTGGAGGACCAGTAATAATGCAATTTTGCAAGCAACAAATTCGCTTCCAAATAAATTGTCGATTTCTCGGCCACTGAAGACTGCAATGTATTATACAGAAGTTTTGCTGCTTTTTCCAAATGCTTCTTATTTTCCGTTGTCGATTCCAAAAGTTCTGGAAGAAGGTATTTCTTTATTCCAAATCAGAATACAGAAATTGGAGAAATCACCTAATAAGCATATAACATTCTGGCAAAAGAGGTGTATCACACTGCTTTTTGAACTGTTTACAGCAATCAGTGATGATTAGCTTATTTAATCTATCTGCTCTCTACTTTTATCGATTTCCAAAAATCTACCCGAATTTTCATCAATAAAGGACTCGATGATGTATTCCGCTTGCAATAAATCCCCAAACTGTTGCATGCCACTATTTTTGGAGCGCACAGAAAGTAATACATCGCCCAACCTTCTCCAGTTACACTCCGAACGACATTTGTCCACTTCTGCTTCCAGTCTGCTCCCCTTCAGTTTCGAACCCATTAGTTCTGTAACGATTCTTGGTTAGCAGATGCCGCCCATCACTGCGTCTCATGCAAACAACAACAATACTAAGAGAAGAGGCGCATACTGTACACATTTTGGCTCACAAAATACCCATCGCTCATAGGTGCAGGACAGCTTGCGGAAGGTTATTACAAATACCTCTCCCCCCCCCCCCCGGAAAGAATATCCCGAAGGAAGAGCTATTCTGGAGCTGGCCACATTCCTGAATGCATGTTTTCGTTTCAAGAGCACTTCAACTAAATGTGCACTCTGCGGCAATACGAAAATTAATACGAAAAATTAATAGGGAGTGAAAATGAAGCAATCAAGGGATAAGCGCTTGCGGTTCATCAACAGGAAAATCTGAACTGCATGGATAACTCGGCAAGGATCGCATGCGAATGAATGGTGACATCAATAATATTAACGGATAATAATACATAATAATCATGAACAAAGAATCCAAACCGTCTTTCTGTATTACTCATTCTTCATTCGATACGTTTAACATCGAAGTAGAGATTTAAGCCAAAAAAGACCGAAATATTATTTGAAAAGTTCTTGCTGAAATGAACTCTTTGAAATATGTCGCTTCCTTTTTCATTGATTGTAGAAAAAATGAGTGGATTTTTGTTTATCTGACAAAAAATATCATTCACCTGATACCTTCGAATTCTTGCTATCAGTAATCGTTTTTTAGCAACCTGTCTGTCGTTGAGGATCTCATGCACTTCTGTTTTAACGTTTTTAGATTCACTACAATGAAAATGAAAACTTTTTTGTTTGTAATTTTGAAAAAATTAAATGACTTGAAAAATATCAATATTGTTAATGAAAAAACATTATTTAATGATGTGGATAGGCATATTATTAAGGAAGGCAGCTATCATAAGTTGAAAATTAAAATATAACCTCACTTGTTCTTATTGCTAGCACTGGGATGTTGTTTTACTAACTCCATAGCAATTTGAAAGCATATTTTTTGTTTACCAAAAAGCTAAAATTATATGTATTTGGATAGGAATTTCGCAGTGCCACAAAATATTCAGATGTAACATATGAAAAGAAATTCTTAAAAAGATTCGAATTACACGAATATTTACTTTCAAAATATAATAATAAAAACAAAGTATAGCTACCATCGTTTTAGCTAACTTACGCGTTTATTTTGCCATCCTCGTCATTGTGTTATTAGAGTGAATGAACTTTCGTTTTTGCATCATGACGGAATGTTGTGAAAGGTAGCTATATCCCCAAGCTTCCTGAAAAGAATCTATGGCGAAATGCAGCGCGTAACTTTTCACAGCCAGAAAAAGGCTCAGCAATCATCTAAGCAAAATTCAGAATGGAAGTAAATTTTCCAATAAGTGCTTATTGGTTCATACGAATCTTTTGCAATTTTTTGAGTAAAATTGAAATAAAAGAAAGGGAACAATGATTCATGAAACTTCTAACAATCGATGAAATTCAACAATTGTGGTAAATTTTTGTAGGATGTTTTAACAACAGCATGATCTGAACTGAAAGCGAGAGATTCAGTCATCTAGATCAAACATATAAGGGAGCATAAAAATATTAAAAATCTTAAAAACTACTACTGTTATCATCAAAAATAAATTTGAATTTTAGCAATGATGATGAATCGAATGCTGATAAACTTGAATGTTTTGAATTTCTTTATTTTGTTTTACCAGTCATTCAAATTTGACTTTGCTGTCAGACTCATATTGAAGCACAGGATTAAATATGCTAATAATGACATCCAGTCCAGTCTAAATTATTGTCTTTTAGCAACCTTTATTCTTACCCATAAGAGATTAAATTCAATTTGCTCTTCTTTTTTATTTCCGAAAAAAAATTATGGCAAGTTAGTAATTACAAACAAACAACAGTTTCGAAAGACTAAATCGAACAGAATGCAAGAAAGCAAAACGCCGCTTTCCTGAAAAAACACCTTTGCAGGAAAAAGAATGGAAAATTATAAAATCGTTTTTGCATCTTCTCGAGGAAAACTTTTTTCGTTCTATTTAGAATAAATGACATTGTTGTCGAACAGAAAATGATTTTGCGGCAAATTAAAAGAAAGCTGTACTTCGTAGATCGATGGGAAAAACTATTAGATTTTCTGTGAACTTTCTGAGCTTTCCTTGATTTTTTTGCCTTTTGTCTATTTACTTCTCATTCAACTACCCAAGCTGAATTCTGATATTGCAATACTAGTGAAATTTGATAATCAAAAAAATGTATTCTTTACCTGCAACCATTTCAAAAGAATACTGAAACATTAACTTTGCAAGCGTAGGGTTACGCATGCCCGTTTGGGTACGTGGTCGCGTCAAAGTACTTTGGTTTATCATCAAAGCACTAATCTATTTTAGTTCCCGTTAAAATATTGTCCCAGTCATCTGCTATTAGTCCATAATATCTTTCGTCTATATCAACGTTATATTCTTTTCAAAAAATTAGGCATATATAAGCACTAAGTACTGAATTTTCCAAACAGTGAGTAAAATAGTGGGCTCGGCTTAGCAAATTTTTCGATGATTTCTGAAAAACTTTTGAGTTCTTTGAGGTGCCGTGCTGCATCTAAACTACACTACAAACAAATTCGAGCAAGTTTAATAGACTATTAAAGCAAAATTCAGAACTGTTTCTGACTAGTAAAGTTTTGATCCTAAAAATTATTTTTTTTCTGAAAAAATTAAAACCCTACACGTTGTTCTGTCCTGGAAGAAAATAAACTCATAAGCTTACTCCACTGATCGTCATCTGATGCTAAAATGAACTATGCCGTACTATATCTCTTCAAAGAAATAAGAAATTAGCAAGGATTTTTTAGATAAGCATCGTTTCCATTGACTATTCGCTGATACAGTTAAGGGAAATGAAAACTCGACACTCCCTAAACAGCAATAGAATATTCAAATTATGTGTTGCCGTAACTCACCTGAATTTAGTTAGCATGTTGTTAAAATGTTTTGCTTCATTTTGAAAGAACCGGTTACATAGGATCGCTGAAATCGCGAAGTTATATAAATACGTATCGCAGCCAGGGTACTTGTCCAGCTGAATATGTGGTCTGCCGATCGAGTTATAAACTGTTTTAATTTATCCAACCATAGTAGAAATAATCAATATAAAAAAGCTGCCAAATATTTGACCGCTGTACGGTCAATTTGACTGTTTATAAAATTTTAAATTTGGTTATTTTCTGAGAATGAAAAGATTGAATTCTTTAAAGGAAATAAATTAAGCCAAATGATCTTGTAATTCAAATAACTGAACAGATGGTTCACCATTTTAAATTGATTTAATTAATCTTCGTATTCAAAGATGGATGCAGATGTCGCTATCTCGACGAGTTTTTGAATAGCTTGCAGCAATTACTGTACTGAAGTAAGCTAATTACTTAATGATTCCTAGTTACCAAGTCTTAAAAGAGAGATAGCAATCATATGCAGCATTCATTAACTAGAAGCTTCAATTACAAACAAAAAGTAAATGTAATTATATTTTTAACAAATCCACGCGATATTTTGATTCAAAATTGCCTTATATGTTCCGCAATAATTTTCACATGTTCATATCAATACAAAAGCTAAGCAACAACATATTACTTAATGGAAGCCAAAAACAGCTTGCAAAAAAATCAACAAATCACATAAACTTCCGCATGCTGGTCAAAACCCTTTTCAGCATATTACCAACGGATATATTCTCTCCCGGAATTTCATTTATTCGCATGAACACCGTTTATGTTTACATACAGACAGGATAGTCTATTAATCATAATTAGATAGACTTATTATGCAATAACTTATTCAACTTGATCAGAGTTTTGCATAGATTTCTTAAAAAAAAGCTCATCATAATTTGTATTTATACGTAAGTTCCATACAATGTTAGTCTTTCCAGTCTATAGTTACTGCTAAAGTTACAAAACAATGATTCCAATTCACTATTTAAAGTCAATATTCGTTTAGTGCTGATATTAAAATCAAAAAAATACTTCACAAAACTAATAAAAGAAAAAAAAAGTTTGCTTCTGCCTAAATTTTAAATTTAAATTTACTACCAGTATGACTGGTAATTTTACGACTATAATCTTGCAGCATGTCGTACATCTTGCAAGTGTTTGCTGTCTTTTTTACTGCATGCTACAGCTTTGTTATTTCAAACGTACCGTGAAACTGCCTTCTACCTATTTTGCTCATAATCAAATCACACTACACAGGGCTTCCATAGTGTCATAAGGTATTACAGTTAAAAACAGAGTGCTGATATTTTAATGCATACTAGGCAAGGCATTAAAGAGTGATACCACCCTTACTCATTAGAACTACCAAAATTTTGATGAAAATGTTACTATTTCACACATAATTCCACTGGAAATCCTACATTAACCTTTAAAATTTACAAAATCTTCTAGTCTTCAAAAAAAAAAATATCATTGTGAAAATATAAAAAGACCACAAATATAAGTACACAGGAAACACAGAATCAGAGAAAAGACAATGGAAAAAGAAAACATGTAATACACTAAAGAAAGTTTTAGAAAAAAAGAAACTATAATACAAACATGACCTAGTGATTCTGTTAACATTGAGTCCTAAATGCTTTCATAACGTTTCGAGTTGTTGCCTTGTATTTCTTTTTTTTTTTTTTTTTTGACTTGTTCTGCAGAGCAACGCAAATGACGCGTTTCTCGTCATTATACTAGCAATTCTAAGCCTAAGCCCTACAAAGCCTTGTTTCTTTAATCCATATAATAACTTGATTCCAGTCACTTGACCTTGATTTGACGACACCTCTTAATTACTTTCATTACTTGACTTCCACTTCATTCTCTTCCTCTGAACTACTTAGTCAAGGACTATAGAAGATACTGGCAACTCTCAACTGCATAAAAGTTTGGAAAAAACGGATTGAACAACAGGGCAGGTTTACTATCCTGGAATGCTGATAAAAATTTTATGAAGTGTAAACGCTTTATAGCGTTATGTATGTATGAGACCGAACTAGAGGTAGCAAACTAGATCCACACTAAAACGCCTCAGGAAAATAAAAACGAGATGTTGTAATATGTTGTTCTTATTTATGCTTCATGATTCCAAACATTTTGTAGATTAAAAACGAAAAGGAACCCTAACTTAATCGTTAGAAGCACGTTCACCGATTTCACAGACATGAAAGCTATTAGTTTCAGGAACACCTACGAATATCAAATCCATGTAAAATCAAATATATCCACTAAATTATTTCTTTATTGCAACAAAATTCCAAGTAATGCAACCTGAGGCGTTCTCTAATATGTGGCAGCGAAGATAATGATCAATTAACTGAAATTACTAATTCAAAGATCCACGACATCCTGGTGCTCCGCATAGGCAATCAATTTTGTCTTCTTCGATCGGGAATTTATAATCATATGTTATTTCATCGCCTTTATTGATTGCCAACTTGCTATAAATAACGATGCGTTTCTCGCCATCTACTACGACAATTTTTGCATAACAGTTTGGTTGGCACGAATGATTTATGAATCGTGCCAAATTTCCCATTTGTGTAGCATCAATGACCTGCAAAATTTTTGGTCAGAAAACAAGTTTGGACGACAAATATATCTAATACAATCCCATTTCACTACGACCAGGAAGAACTTATGAAAATGGTATTCTCGATATAGATTGAGAAAAAAACGGTTGATTTGATAATATTATTACTATACCGTACTTGAATTTCCCATAATGCACTGTACACACTTACGTCCAGAAGCTGATAAATTATCTAGAAAATGAAGATAAATTTTAGGGTGAATTAGCTTACATTATCCGAATCGATACGGAACAAATAGCTCGAACCCATGCCACGTCTTTCGTAACGTTTTTCGCGTTCATCTGCCACTGTCGGTCGTATTTTCTGTCCGATATACTCAACAATCATCTCATCTGGAGCTATTGCTTCCAATGCATACAAACCCCAACCGTGAATACGAGATCGAGCAAACTTGATTAACTTTTTACGAAACTAGAAACAAAATTTCCGAATCCCGAATTAGAGGTTCAAAAATTTTAATTGCTTCCACTTGTTCATCGAATAAATACAAATCGCATACGCAATCTAGTAAATATTTTGAGCTGGCATTTTTAAACCACAACAGTCAGTTTCTAACCACACGGCCATTACCATAATTGCAACTTTTAAACTATATCTTCTACACAGGCTATTAGACGTTTCTCCTTGAAAATAAAATCTTGGAGGTAACACAGTCTTACTTAACAACCAACAAGGAAACTTGATCATGTTAATTTTGCGTATTGCATCCTAGTTCTAGTCACATATGCAAAAATTAAGGTTTTCCCTCAACTTCTGTGCGTACTCTTCATCGTCTATGTTCTGTCCATTAAACTGGCTTATGTGGTTCTCAGATCATTTCAACTGTATACAACAACTTCAGAGAACAAACTGAATGCTTTTTAAACCTACAACGTTATACAAACTATTTCCAAGCTATGGTACTCTGTGCATTAAGAGAATTCGAAATCATCGTGAAAAGCAAAAAAGTCCAAAATATGATTTTTTTTTTTTTCTCTTTTTTTAAGAAGGAGAACTATCATTTCTTAAGAAATGTCTCAGAAAATTCAAACTTCTTTTGGGAAAGAATTCAAACAATTTACTTTTAGTTGATTAACTTTGAATATGTCAGACGAGGTATCACCCATTGATGTCAGTAAACGACGATTCATACTTCGTGCTTCTCGTGTAGACTGTACCAGATACCGAGCTTTTTCATCATCCTTTAAATGCAAACATAATCAATCATACACTTAATGAAAATTTTTAAAGTGATGCACTAATGAAATATTCTGGAAACAAAATGTAAATTTACATTGTCTCTTTATTAGACTATATTCTTCATTTCTTAATGAGAGTATTTTGATGAATTTTTATTGATACCAACAATTTATGATAATAAATATGAAAGCAATTCATCTCATATTATTTAGCTTAATAAAACCATAATTTTTTATAAAATTGTAGTACATTAAAAGTGGTACTTAAATCACAAACCCTTTCATTTATTTCCGTTAAGAAAACATCCGGTCGTCGTAGAACACCTCTTTTTTCCTTGTAGGATAATTTATAGTAGCCTTCTGTACGTGCGCATCCCGACGAATGGGGTACCACACCTTCTAGCTGGAACGAAAATGAAACTGATGTAGAGGTATGTGCATAGCACTAAGTTTTCAGGAACACAGCTAACTTAAAATTCTATGACTTTTTAACATCCTCTCTATGTTCTATTAAAAAATATGAGAACTTACTTCAGGATCATCGTAATAATAAATATTTTTCCCAACTTTCTTCGGTTTGTCCTACAAAAAGAATATTCACTAATCGAAAAAATCACGTTGTTTTACATTACTAAAAATCGAAAATTTTCTATAGTTGTATGATAAAGTAACACGTTCTAATATAGCAAATAATTTCAAACCAATAGATGGATTTCTGGCACTTTTCTTGGCGGTACCCAGTATAATTTTCTATTCCATGTTGCCGTTCCATCATTCTGCATCCCATGAAAGGCTTTTTCCAAAAACATCAAATCTTCTGAATCCAAGCCTTCCTTCAAGATAGGAAATCTTTATAAATCAAAAATAAAATGTTTATGCTCAAATTTCATTTTCCGCTAATTTTAAACATTCCTCCTTTCTACATTTCATCTTTAAATGAATTACAAAAAAATAACAGAAGTTAAACATCAAAATTCTAAAGAACTAACTTTTTCAAACTTCCAAAAAATCTGTTTTTCTTCTTCAGGAGTTCGTTTCTCCCATTGTTTTGCAGGTTTCCAACTTGTCTCCCATGCGAGTTGCTCTACATCGACGGGTGGTGGAAGTAACGAAGCAAGTTCATTTCGATAACATCGTTTCTTTACTTTCGCTGCAATTTTTTAAACAATTTCGTTTAAAAGACTCCAAAACGTTCTAGCTTATTTCTAATGCCTTTCTGTTACATTTATGAACAAAATTCAACTTGCTCGTCAAAAGGATCTCAGATACCAAACTATTTGAACTACTTGATGAATAAGAAATTGCCTGAAATGATTACTTATCACCAACTGCATTATCGTACCAGCTTTATCTTGTACACATTGTGGCGGTATTTTTTCTGGTTTTCCCAATTTTCTCGTTTCACAATACTCTGAGGACATCGCTTTGTTATCACTGTATATTGAAACGTTTTCTTTAAATTCTTTTTTCAGCCTTTCCGACAGTTCCATTGGAAGATAGCAATGATCGTTGAAATATCCTTCCATATTCGCGACATCGAATACCTCAATAATAATAATCTGATCCAATGATTTCAAGTTGATAACTTGAAATAATGACGTAAATTATGTGCATAGCAAATGCACAATTGATTAATTAATATCTTAAGAAATTGTTTTTAAATGAATGAAACAAGACACGTTTTCACCACATGCGATGATTGGAAAATAAGGAAATAGGAACAATGACAACAAGGTGTTCATTTCTATCCGTTTAGTTTATATGCTTTTTGAAAAAATTCATATCAATCAATCTAAATCTAATTTGCTTTGAAGTTTCCAAACAATTTGAACTAGTTAAAGCAACTCAAAGGAAAAAGTAATTGTAAAATCTTTACCTCTTCATGTATTGTCCCAAATTCACCGGCATTTTTATCCCGTCCTATCAAGTGAGATGCTGCTACGCAACTGCTATAATTTATTCATTAATGAACAAAAAATTTTTTCGTTTAAAGAATACATTCAGAAATTTAAATGTTATGTATTCAGCATAATGTAAATTTCTAAAAAAAAAAGACTGAAAAAAAAAAAAAAAAACGCAAACCTTAATGAGTCAATTCCGTCACATCCATTATTTTCTTCAGCTTCATTTTTAACAAATAACATTGCCTTTTCTTCAATGCCTTAAAGATTAAAACTGAACCATTTTGCAAAGAAAAACTAAACAAAATCTTCTGCACCGATTTCACCTTTCAATAGGTAATGAAACAATATAAGGAGCTTAATATGAATGAAACAATATAAGAGAATTAAGCGTTAGTAGATATTGGAATTATAAACTTAAAGCTTTGGAAAGAAATACTTTTGATGAAAGAAAAAGCACTCAAAATAGAAGTTATCGCTAAACAGTGGACAATCAACATATTATACGCTAGATAAGTTTAAAAAAATTTTTAATCAACCATTCCTATTCTCATTTTATTTCATTTATGTTACGATATAAATTAAAAAAATTATTCTGATTAACAGGTTGCTAACCAGAATGTGCAGACAATTTGTCAATTGCTCGAATTTCATCAAAAACCTTTTCCATATGCTCTTGTTCTTCTTGCTGCTCCTCCTCCTCCCCCTCCTCCTCCTCGTCCACTTCTTCCTCTTCATCTTCTCCACTTGTTGATCCATCAAATGGCGTGAAAGTTCCAGAACCAAAATTTTTTGTTGAACGACCTGCTGAACATATAGACTCACCTCCACTTATACTTCTGGAAATAGTTCAACAGCCATTTTTTTTAAAGAAATTAAGAATTATCAAACACATTCAACTGAAATTCTATATATTAGAAAGCAGCATACAGAACTTATTTTTTCATGAGCACGCAAAAGTTTTTCTAAATTAATACTAACGACAATGTTCGAAGAAAATAATAAGTATGTCTTGGTCTAAGGAATAATCATTTTAATCAATTTCCATTACGAAACTAAACCGATTTTTAAACATTATTTTTGTTTATATTTACTTAAAATAATGAAATATACAGGTCTTCTTCATACCAAACACGTTTGACTTTTTCAAAAAACATCACAAACTACTCCTTCTTAGGTAACAGTCAATTAAATAATACCGTTCATTTGCACTTCTCGCACCTTCGTCATCGGAACTTATCCCTTCAGCCAAGCTGCTTTCACTTGCACTGTGATTTTGACTTCCACTTCCACAGCTTCGATTTGATTCCGAAGTCCTGTCGCTTCCTGTATGTGAATGAAGACAAAATGATCTGGAACTACTACTTCTGGATCGTTGTTTTCGTTCCGGTGATAAGTGTACTTGTTTCTGAAAGTCTCATATTAAGGATAATATGTAAACATGAAGTGGAAAAAATGCGGAAAAGTGCTAGAAAATAAAGATCAAATATGAAACAAAGGATGCATAATTCGGTTTAATAACAGCACTATCATTTACTGCTTGGAAAGGTAAGAATGTAGTATAAAATAACAAAACAGTAAAACGACTATCATAAAACGAAAAAAATTTTTCCAAAAAAAAAAAAAGAAAAAAAGGAAAATTTTTTCTCATATCTGGAGAAAAGAAATCTCATAAAACATAATATCTGTCTGAATATGAAGTTGGATAAGTTATGATCCCTCAAAAAAAAAAAATAACCTTTTTGAAACTCGGCATATTTCGTGCAATGCCCAAACCTTTGAAAAATAATCCAGTGCCCAACAATGCCGCTGTATCGGGACCAAATGCAGCCGACATTTCAGCTCTTGTTTGCTCAGTCACTTGTCGGACCACCTCATTCAGCGAATCTTTCGAACTGGAAAGCAGAGTTAAGTGTTTAGGAAGTTTCAAAATACAATTTATTATATGATGAAAAATTTTAACAGGCTCTGAATTTCTGCGCAATAATACAAATCATTTATTAATAAATGGTTTTGTGCACCGCTTTTATGCATTTAGATAAATCGATCTGAAATGTTGGCCACCTTTCATGTTATCTGGAAATCATTTAATAATAATAATGATAATGGTAATAATAATAATAATGGCACTAAAATTCTACCTAACAGTTTGTCTAGCTGAAGAGAAGTTGGTTTTATCAACAGTTAATATAGGAATATCAGTAGCATCGTTCTTTGCTTCATTTTGCCATGAATCACCGTCTTGCTCCTGGAAATAGATAAAAAATTGATACAAACCACATTAATTTTAAACGATACAGAATATAATTTACCATGTTTTTAGAATTATAAGCTTATAAATTTTACTGAATTATTTCATTGGAAAACAAAATTCTCGCTGCGGAGAGTTCAAAAAAAGTTCAAATTTAAACAGTCCTAATGATAACTCATCTTTCCAGAAAATATGTGTAAAATTCGGATGTAGTGAAGTTCAACATTTTGAATTATATTGTTTTTCAACAAACAATAGTGATAATGCTCTATATTTCTTCAAAATCATAAATAGTGTCAAAGATGATGAACATACTTAAGAATGCATTCCTTCCCTCACCTCCCCAATATGTATCACAAAAAATGCGGCAATTTATTCCTTAAATCGATTGTTCTAAAATTTTGTTATTCTCGCTATAAAAAATTTTGTTATTCTCGCTGTTATTCAAGTTATCTCGCTATAAAAAGCATTTGAATAAGTACCACTATTTTAGTTTTTTCTCTTTCCATCCAACCACGTTCCAATTTTTCAAAAGCGATACTTTCAATTTTGCGCATTAAGTCCTTCAGCAAAACATTTTTTAGGTCTTCACGAACTGCCACATATACTGCATGCACATAGTTTTCCCGAGCTACTTTCTGAAAATAAAATGAATTTTTATTAAGATTGAAATGAATTTATTAAGATGTTGAGTTGCAAATGAACAAGTAAAAAGACAGGAAGAATGATATTACAATCTTTACTTTTTTCTCCAAAATCTGCCCTTCCAGTTCTCTTTGCTTCTTATTCTCTTCCGAACTTCCGACTTCCACTTTTTTATCCTCAACCAATTCACTCCGTTCTTCTCTAACCTTATTGCAAATAGTATCCATCGGAGAAGACGCGACAAGCTATAAAAAATGAAGTCGATATACAATATAGACGTTTGTTTAATAAATTAATTATACTTACTTTAACAATTAAATCGATAATGATCGCTTTTGGAATGAGCAATAAAATATCTGAATAAGATTATAAACATTTTAACTTTATTAAAAAAAATTAACTTGCCTCAAAAGAAACTGGATCTGAGATAGTATTACGATGTACTGGGTCTGATGTTATCTGTATTTGTGAGTTTTTCCAAGATTCACTGAAAAGTCCAGGAGTAAACGTTATCCTGTTAAGAAAATGAACATGAAAAAAAGATTTCAGATTAACTTTGGAAAATCACAATACTAAGAGCAACTGTGATTCAAATAAAAGTAGTAGGTTAACAATATACAAATTTTGTTAGATAATCTGCTGCAACGAAGACGTTTAAAGAGATAAAAAGGTTCATAACTGAACAAGATGATCAAAGAGTGTTTTCAACGCACTTAGAAACCGTTGGCACCGCAATAGTTTCTATTCCTTCACGTATTATGATATAAAAGGAAAAGCTAATTATAGACAAAAGCAAACGTTATCCTGTTTCGAATTTTACAGTTTGTGCAAACTTTCATGACATGCTGCAAAAACTAAATAGAAAGGAAAACGAATGTAATAGCTGAATGAATTAAAACACTTTCAGGACAAGTTTGTAAATCATCTATTTTTTCTTGTCATTGTATATGGACCAGATAATCTTAGGGGATTTCAAAATACTAAGATTGTTTAAAAACAACAAAACATACCTAACGAAAGATAAACTTTTTTCGAAATTTCATTTAGAACTTACGCAGAATTTAAATCAGATGGCTGCCTGGCAACAGTAATTTTTGTATTATTGTGCTCGATAAGAAAGGTTTCGGACATAGGCATTCCTTTTAACTCCACAGTATTAGGTACTGTATTTGGTGTTGGAAAAGGCATACCAAAGACTGAAAAATAGATATGTAGTCGTAACGTAAGATACACAAATATAAATAAGACTACCGAGATGCCCCACAGGATTTTAGATTAAATCAGAGGTGGAGATTTCATATTGCAGTGTAAGCATACTTCAAGCAATAAAGCATTCTTATATATATTTAATGAACTTAATTAGGAAATTATCAATATCTCCTCCGGACTGTACTTCCTATTTCTTAAATTCCCAGGCATCTTTCTTTGAAAATTAAACAGTTTAATCCGGTCTTGAAGTGAACCACATACATCTTGCACAGAAATAACAAATAATAACGAAACCAAAAGGAAACAATGATATATTTTACTAGGTATTCGTGATCTATTAATAAAAGGAAGAACTCAACATTTAAGATCGTATTCTTCATTATGAATTTAATGGAAAAAAAAAAAAGAAGTAATAATACGTACCACCTGCATCGTTTGGTCGCTCTTCTTCGTGTGTCTCAATAATCTGAAAAAACAATTTATAAATAGCAGAAAAAATTCGTAATACATAATCGCCTTCCTTTTTCCGTTCTTCCATCCTCTATCAATCAATACTATTCTATTCTATGAGAATCCGAACTTTGCAGGCAATGCAAACCGGAAAATCAATTTTAACAAATCTCTCACAAAATGCTTTCCATTCCATTTTTCTCACTTTATTTTAACTGGAAACCACCTTTCATAGTTAACTCAAAAGTTCTTAATTATAATCATATGCTATGCTCAAAAAACGTAAACTTTAAAAGATCTGACCATGCCTGGAGGAGGATGCACTGAAGTGGATCGAAACAAATTTTCGAGTCGTCGTTCGAAAGAAAGTCGTGAACTTTCTGCCGGAGAAGTAGATTGAACGACGCATGGAAGTGGAGAATCACCCGAAAGCTTCTCGGGTAAAGCTATAAAATTCAGAATTGGCAGTGACTGAGTCGATTCATTCTCTAAAAAAAGTCTAGCCGTTGCATGATAGAATTATTACAGTTTCATAAAAATTCGATAACACTCAAATCCATTTTCCAAAACAGACGATCATAAGAAATGTTAAAACGGACTAACTCCTTATGAAACTATTTTTCATATGCCGTGCTGTTGACTGATGTGCTAAACCACTTGTTCCAGCTTCTTCACCATGGGATTCTTCGCTGCTTGCAGTCACAGCCTCAACCATATCCTAAATAACTTTCCAGTTCGAGTATAAGCTAATGAGCTAGTCCAATATGAAAACTATCCCACACATGAGGGCTGTGTTAAAGTTATCACGTAAGGTTCAGTTTTAAAAATTTATTTTGTAATTCAGAACTGATTATGTTTCCAATTTATATAAAAGCTGAATATTTTCACAGACAATAATATTATGATCATGCAACACTTTAATACATAAAAACAAACCGACAGGTTTATCACTTGTAAATTTCTTGGTGAACGAAGGCTTGAAAGACGTCTACCTGCCCTAAAACGAAGATAGTAGTTATTGTGAATTTCAAAGAAGAAAGACCATTCATCTTCCTGAACGGTTTACCGACATAACGAATCCGAGGTAAATTATGCCTATAACTGCGAAAACTTGTTTGAGATATAGCAAACAAGTCATGAATAATCTTCTGATTGTCTAAAATATTGAAATCACATTTCTAAACGAAACACTACACATATCAATAATCTTTTGTTCCTGATTCTTCTAGAAGGGTCGATGGTTTTATGTAGTAAAAGAGCTTAACTTCACGTCCAAAAGTTTTCGCTTCTGAAAATTATTATCTATAAACCTCCCAATGTTATCGTTGTAAGAACTTTAAAAACCTATCTTCTGCAATTTTTGAAAGAATCTGATCCATCAGATTCTGTTTCTGATTCTGTAGTTGAGGAAGATGAAGACCACCTATGACCCTTTTCATTCCCACTAAAACTAGAATTTTCTCGATCTCCATAACTCCTGTGGTCACTGTAATAAAAAAAAATCTTTATTATGATAGACAATTACGATAAAGAACTTTTGACAAAAACTGATAAAAAATTCCATTTTTATTTCAATCTTATAACTCTTCTTTATCTGTAATAAAGTCGCCTCAAACATGAAAAGGAAATTTTATTTTTGGATTTCAATATTGAGACATACCACTGTTTACGCCTTTCTTTCATAATTCGCTTCTTCCTCCAATCCACGTATTTGGATTGTTGCTGGCGGATATGCTTTATTGATAAAGCCTTTCTATTACTTTTAGTTTTTTTTGCCTGAAACTACTGCAAGTATTGAAATTTTTAGAAGTCAACGAATTATAATGTTATCTAAAAATTGTCCCGTGCTACGAGCTCAGCCACCAACGAGTTCTTCTGAACATCGTAAAACCAACAAAAAGCTTATAAATACAACTTTTTAAATTACTTTCTAATTTCTCAAGCATTCATTGAACTAGTGCCTTATAATTTTACTGATCAAGAAACAATTTCGAATATTAAAACCCATCCCTAACTGCACCTTTAGCTCTTGTTGCTGCGTACTGAGCTGATCTTCAGTCACTACTGAGTCACTACTCACACTTTCCAGATCAGGCAAGTCAACATCCGGTTCCACGAAATGCTCATCCCGGTCAGTAATTTCTTCGTGCTGTTTTTTATATTTTCTTATGCGTTGATAATTTTCCACTTCTTCCACTAGTTCTGGTGAATTTGATCTAGGCTCATGTGAACATTTTCGCGTATTATCATTTCTTCGAATTACAATTTCCTAAAAAAACATAAGGTAAAATATTCGATTATAAATAAAAGCATAATTTGAATACACAACCGATGTAATTTTCTAACACTATGTGATTTATATGTATATGTAAGGAAAATATCAAGTATTTTTTTTTTGTAAATATTATTTGTCAATTTTCCACTTCTTATTCTCTCTAAAAAATCCAAATACAAAAGCACTCTAACTACAATCTTTAATAACAGAATACAATACAAAATGTCTCATCAAAAGTTGAGGAACTCTTCAAACTATTCCATATAACATTACTATTGATCACATCTTTACTTCACAGTTCAAAAAACTCGGGTCAACAACAAATAAATCTTCTTACCTTGTAGTAATCGTTGGTTCCACCTACTCCTTTTCTTCTGTAATATTTACGTTCCTAAAAAATTTTGAAATAACAAATTTGAATCATTGGAAAACTATACAAAGAAATTCAGCGAGTTACACATAGCACGATTCGCAATTAGAGAAATTTAAAAAAAAATAAAATAACTAAAACTAAAACAAACTATTATCACGATTCCCTTATTCTCTCTCCCGTGCTCTAGAGAAGAACAAACATGGGGCATTAAAAGTTAAAGAAAGATGCATTGCAATTTCCAATAATTGCGCAACAGAAGTAGCCATGATTTCTATGAAAAGGTTCAAGTTATCTTTAACTTTGTAATATTTCACTTATTTTATCTTGGATTATATAAAAGATTATACAGATGTTAATGCTTGCTCGGTTCAATCTAACAGATTTTGATGTGAAGTCATCATATCGAATATATCACTTACTTCTACAATTCCTTTTTTTCGATGTCGATGTTCCTTTTCAACAGTACTACTGCTATCCTGAGAACTTTCTTTGCTCAATTCACTTCTTTCATCACTTTCTGAACTGGTATTTCCAGAAGCAGAAGAAGCCGGAATGGCTTCACGAAACCGTCTTCTTTTTCTTACTTTTATTTTTCCACTTGCTGGAGGAAAATATCATTTGAGATCTGCTTATTAAATCTGTTTTTCCATAGATTCCCTGCTCTTGGATTTTCTGAGAAATAATTTTTACACGACTTCCTTAATGATATCTTAAAAAAACTAGTCCATTACTACAAAACTTATTAGAAAAATAAATTCTTAGTAAATTTCATCTGTTGCATTTGCTGCCAAAGTAATGCAAGTATTTAACGAAAACACGTTTAAACTAGCCTGAAACATTTCGTTTTCTTCTCTGTACACTTGCAACAGCTGTTTTCGGTTTTTTCCTTTCCTCATTTTCCTGATATTAAAAATACTTTAAGCAACTTCAAAATTTCCATGAAAAGTATTAACTCTAGAGAGCTCATACGACCTTCTCAATATTATGAAATGATTGACGTATGATGATACAAACATAAGGTTTCGAATAATTTAGATGAAAGTCGAAGGACGTCTTAGTTTTTCCAAAAAACTAATGGCTGAAAGAATGATAGATATAACTTCATTAGAATGGCTTTTTCTTTCCGAAGGACAATATTTCTATAAACAATAGATGAAGCACTAGAATTAATATGTAATTTTAGTGCTTCATGTCTATGAAGACAGCATGAACCAAAGGATACGATAATATATAAGGTTAAAAAAGAAACTTTCGACGGTGCTGGATCCATCGGAGCAACTTCCTCGCAAGATGAAGTACTTGGTACAGCTTGGTAAGCAGTTGAAACAAAATTTAATGCTGTTGGTGCCGGACTTCTTATGGATAGGACTTGCGGTTGTACCGGAACAGACACAACTGCTTTTGCTCTTGGCCAAGTATTATCTATTGAAAATATTCATCATAAAAAAATAAGTAAATAAAAGAAGATTAATGTATCATCTAAAATTTAAAATTCTTGTTTCTGGTAAAGTGCATTTAAATTTATTGGGAACTGAAATGTTCATAACTACCTAAGGAACATTTATGGTTTCCCAGTGCTAGCCTTAAAAAATTCAAAATTACCAAAATTTAAAGTAACCTGAAGTTCGCAAAGGTGATGATGGCAGATTAGACCATACAGGAAATGGCATTCGTCCAGCTATTGGTGGAAGGGATGAGAAAACATTGACGGAAGGTGAAACTGGTGGAAAATTAGGAAGAGGAGATATCGGATTGACTGGCATCGAATGGTGGTAAGTAAATGGGGTCTGCGACTGTTGATGAGAAATGAAATGATGGGAACAAAATGTTTGATGTGTTGTTTTTAACAGTGGACATGAAGTTGTAGCGGAAGGGGATGTTGTCGATGAAGCAAAATATCTGGTTATTGGTGGAACTGTCGTACGTTCATTACATGGTACCACATTTCCGATATGTGCTACTATAACACAAATTTGTTTTGCAAATCTAACGTCTCTTTTTTCAAAAAATCTGAGATATAATTTAAAATACTTTTTATCATATAAATAATGACAAAATGTTTTCATCAAACACTTGGATGAATTGATAAAAAATTTGGATAACAGTTTATGAAAGTAATGGAAATGATACAAAGGATCGAATATATCATCGTATCATCCATCATTCCTTCAAAAGTGATGAAGTAATAATATAAAAGAATTATTATTTACCAGCTATTCTTTTCCTGCTAATTTTTCTATCGGAAGCAAAAGCAAACAAATATAGAGCTGTTCTTTATTGTTTACACCCAGCTTTTCAGAACTATAGACATTTTCAAACTGACCGTAGCAAGTAAGTATGAAATTAATAAAGAAATTGGATACCTTTCGCCAATGCAGCTTCAACCGATTGCTGATGCACTTGACGATGAGAAGCCGCTTCAGATTCTACAGATTGTTTTTTCGATGACAGTTCTGATGCTTTAAAATCACTGGATTGCTGAGCATTGGTAGGAGGTGATGAACTTATGAGAATGCTTTTCTGGAATTTGAAATATTTGGTCTCTCATCAATTTAAAATACTTGGTTACTTGTTTTGTTTTTTGTTTTTTTTTTTCGATTTTCATGACTTTGTTTTGCATTTTTACCATTTTACTAACTAAATATATCACAAACTAATAATAATTTTTTGTGAAAGAGAAAGCTATCATGAAAAGATTCCATCTAGAAAGTAATCTGATTTTCAATTGAATGCCGCAAAACCTACACATTCAGAAGTACTTGTACAGCTGACTCTTCGAAACTCAATTAGTCTGTTATGATCCAAGCGTGATAAGTAATGTGGTATTGGTGCTGTTTCCACTGCTCGCTCTTCATAGCGTCGACTTATTTCCTTCGCTCAAAAACAAAATATTCTATTATTTGCAATAATTTATTATTAATCTCTGCAATTTCTATATTTTTCCTATTAAGTCAAGTAAAGCTAATTAATTAATGTTTTTCAACAGTTCTGTCTGTGCATGTGTGTGAGTAAAAATCAGTATCAGTAGTCCCCGTAAACAAATAAGTTAATTAAGTAAAAAAATAAACGTACCATATGGATCAATAATACACTTAATTGTTTGTCCCATAACTGAAGTACCGTCATTTTTTGCAACAAACAATTCAGCTTTACCAACATCCTGGAAGACAACGTACGCCATGCCCAAATGTTTTTTTGTTCGAGGATGCATATATACGAATACCTCAATAATTTGACCGGTCTTTCTAAAAACATTGAAATATAAGTGTTAAAGTAGAATGTCGCTTCGCATATTTTATTAATTTTTTTTTTTTTTTATTCATAAAAATGTAAAACTTTCAAGTAAATTCATTTTCTCTGCAAATTCTAGATATTTCACCCCAGAAACAAATTTTTAAGAAAGCATATAAAAACCTACTGGCACATATCAGTCAAAAATGCATTATTTATGTTATCATTTAAACCAAATATGGAAACTTCACGTTTTGGTTGTGGTCCAACCGAGTTATTGTCCAACTGCAAAGAAATTTTATAAAGAATGTTAAGATTTCCAAGTCTTCCTAATTATTTTCGTTCCATAATATTCCGCAAAATTACTAAGTGAAGAAAAGCGAACTTTACAATAACCATAACAAAATAAAAAAAGAAAAAAAAAATTAAATAGTTATATAATCTCCGCATAATGGACTTACAACAAAAGAAGGTAGTGGAAGGTCGATCGACTCCACATTACGAAATCTTGTTAGTGGGTTCCTCGGATCACCCAGTGTATGTACATTATACTAAAATTATTCATATCAGAAATTTCATTTACGAAATATCAAGGTGAGTAAATGAAACTTACGTTGTATATTCCTATTAACAAATTGCAATATCATTAAAGAAGCTACACTCTTTCTGGCATTTTTCTCCACTTTTTTAAGGTATTTTGCTTTTAAATTCCGTTCTAATGATAAATCTCCCTCCTCCTCTCCTTTTCCCAACCATATACATAAGTTCTTGTATTGCAGCTTTGCTATACAAATAATTCGCTTTCTTTTGGACCTAGAAAGTAGTCCAACTCAATTACTATTCTATTCAAGAGTAAATTTCTCTCTCTATACCTCAGAACAACAACAAAAAAAAACTTGTAAAAAGAAAAACTGCATGGGTATATTTAAAATTTGTTGGCAAGAGCAGTTAAAGATCAGTTCCTTGTTTATCATTATTTGTATGAATGTGCTTTTAAATTATCAGACTACAACTTTGTTCAATCAAAATGATAAAGCTAATAGGAACCTTTGGATCATCTTTGCAGACACCGTCACACCGAAAAATTACACGCTTTGTATCGACATTAATAGCTTTCCAGGCGATCTTATGATGAATGTGGTGTGCTGTTTCCAATAATGGACGTGGTCGACTTGATCCTTCTGCTGACATTTTAGCTCCTGAAACTAATGAAACTACTTTTTAATGACTTAGAAATGCGTACTTAATAACTGAAATACATTAAAAACTTCTTACTACCTGGAAACTATGACTATAGTTTTAGTCCTTAACGACTGATAAGAATATAAAGTAGTTTTTCAGAATTTCTAAGGCGTCACTACCGGTTTGTTCTGAAACAGCCCTGCATCCAACTAGTCATTACATAACGACAAAAGACAATTTTTCATGCTAATTCTTAGCATTTATTTATCCCTATCGGCGTGGATTCAGAGTCTCGTTGAACTCGATACACACTATGATGAATGAATAATCTTGCCAACTTGATGTTTTCGTCTTTTATTAATCATCTCTCATTTCATTTCCTTACTTAAATATTCCATACCTAAACAGCTTCCGTGAGAGTTTTCTCTTTCTTTCACTTGACCTTCTTCACCTTATTACCGGAATTTTGTCCTATATTATCTCTTACATTTTTTTGTTCATTTTTCAAACTTGCCTAAAATTCTATGTTCACAGCATTCATAGCCTCCAATTTTTTTACAATGTCTGTTTTTTAATGTTTCAAACTGAGACATTTTTATAGCACTATTCAAAATCAATAAATAGAGTTGTTCAAACAGTATAAGCATTTTTAGTCTAACGAAATAATCTCTTAATTATAAGCTAAACCATTCTGATGATATGAGGCGTTTTCATGAGCATCCATTCAGAAGATCCAGCAGGTTAACAGAAGCATATTTTATTTTCTTTGGGTTCTACATCCACCAGGTTGATTTTATCCTGCAAATCGTTCCGGAAATTATTACACTGCACCGAGGCACATCCAGAAAACACTGGAAAACTTTTTTCTTGGAAACAAATCCTGAGAAGTAGATGGAACTTATCATGAAAAAGTGATTAGATACTATTTTAATGGAAACAAATTTCATCTCGCAACATAACACCTCCAATGAATTCTCACTGCAAATTCAACATAGCCGTAAATGAACCAACTACCGTGCTATTAGATTACGCCTGAAAAAATTACTGGCAGGTGACAAACACTGCTGGATGACAGCTGTGTATAGCAGCTCTTATATTCCGGTCAAATTCCCCTTCCCGACATAATCTTCGATAATTGTAGGAGCTATTGAAGCTGAACAGAAATTATCTGTAAGAAGTGTAGAGGGGTACTTACCTTACTACCACTTTCCCGATCCGTCATTGTGGATGGTCATGTGAGTGAATAATGGAAGAGATTGGCTGCAAGTATAGCATTCCAGTGCCCGATCCATCTTTAAGCAGATTAAACTTCACTCATATTTCGTGATTTATAAAGGTTTCCTCTTCTGACATCTATTTATTTGAAGCATTTCCGTTCTTTTTGGGTGCTTTCATTTTTCGCTCATCAAATGGGAATCATTTTAGGTGTCTATCATTCTTTTGCCTTCTGCACACCGCGACACGCTTTCTCTGTTTTTGAGGAAAACTAGCTTGAATTAGAACTTTTGCTCAAACTGATATAACAGTCGAATGACGTGGGACGGGGGGGGACAAACCCCAGAGAGCTCTATGACATAGCTCTATTCAAACAAAAACTGCGCTGACCACAATGAAATCCACTCAAAGATAAATTACGTTTATAATTTTTTTAAGTGCTCAACTTTATGAATCAATCGCCAAAAAAAATTTTGCACAGCATATTTTCTAAAAATGCAAGAAATATGTAACTATAGAATTCTTATCCTTAAAAAACAAATCCTCAGCTGCAACCATTTAATATAAGGTAATTCAAGACTTGCATTTGTCACTGTGGTACTGATACAACTAATGGTAATTTACATGTAATTTATATGCAGATGAATTGACCATTCCAATAATGAGCTATTGCAATCAATTGGATGATTGTCCATAAAAACTCAAAAACCAATCGCTATATATTTGCTACACACATTAGAAAACCTCTAAACATTAGACTTAAAAGTCTAAAAATTTGATATTTACAACTTCGTGTGGGGAAAGTCTTGAGTTATGCGTGTGGTAATAGACATTTTTATATGTTGCTTTTGTTTGAAGCCATATGTTTCAACACGTCCCAACATTCTCGCAGTCAGAAGGAAAATGTGTGAAAGAAACTGAAATTGCCATTATCCGGACTTGACATTAGAAAACACATTATCCTGTGGGTACACATGTCACTCGCTTCTTATATCACTGCTAAAGCAATGAAAAACAAACAGGACTAAATGTGAGTAAAGCCTTTTACTTTTTTGATTTTGATTTTTATATGTTGCTTTTGTTTTTTCACATTTAATGTTAAAATTTAAGCAAAATGATGACAGAGATTTAACAAATTGAATGAATTAAAAAAAAAAAAAAACGTAAACAAATGAGTTAACGCACATAAAATATACAATCATTCGACTAGTGTGACATTCTTCCTCGTATAAACATTTGTTTCAAATATATCTTGACATTTGTTGTACCGACTTCTCAGTCGTGAACACAGATAGCTGTTACTCATCTAAATAAGCAAAACTTATGATTTATATTGCCATAATAGATAAAGATGATATGTTATCGGCGTATGTATAATTGTACTGTAATAATAAGGGAACACTTAGCAATAATCCAACGACTTTAATGAATGAAAAAGAAAGTATACAGATCTAACATATCGTAAATAGCGGAATCTTATTTGCTCTTCACCTAAAACCGTACCATAGTCAGAATTCAATAGTTCAACAGTAACTGAAAATTCTAATAGTGTAAGGAAAAAACTTTAACTACAAATCGAATAATAAGGAAGTAAATCAAATAGCAAGAAAAAATACCTGCTTGTGCGGATCCATCACATTCAACTGAGACGGTTCATAAGCTAAATGCTTGTCGACTACGCATCTTCCATCTGGAAAGACCTGAAAAAATTATTCTGAAAAGCTGCCTAATTAATTTGATTGATTAAAATTAAATCTGGAAAGGAATTTTCGGTATTTTCATTGACAAAGCCTCATCGTTCATCTCTTTCATTCTTGTGAAGTCCTTATGCATGTCAGGTTGCAGTCAGCAAATATCGATTCAACAGAAATTATTAATGCACGATTTCCTGCGTAAAACAGCTATTTTATCACTTCCATGCTTACTTCCAAGGCGTTCACATCATCAATTGTTGGTTCACCATTGGGAAATGACAGTCCACGCACTTCAATGATATGCTTCAAAGGCCATAATTCTGTATTCTGTGAAGCAGTATTTTTGAAAATATACATTTTACCAGGCTGAAAGAAGTCTAAGAGCAAGCATTGAAAGAATCACTTCCAAATTTATTTTTAAAATAAAACTTCCACTTGATTCTTATGAAGAAAAAAATGTGCTTATCCACACATTAATTCCGCTTTATCTGCTTTTTTAATGCTAATCTTCAAGAAAGAGAAGTTTGTACTACTTTTTCTACTTACTTTTATCAAACAATTATAAATCATTAATCGCAGTGCCCATCATTCGATGAAGTATATGACTACAGATGGTAATCACACCTATGCTGAGGGCACTAGGGGGTTGGTGCCAAATATACATTAAAGACAGAGGACTTTTGTATTGTTAAAAAGGAAAGGAACAAGAATTATGATGACGGCCAATGACTTCTCAAAACCAACAAAGTTAAAGGATTAAATTAATTCTTCCCATATTTAATTCTTGACAAAAAATAGCATCAGTCACTTACTTCAACATCTTTACCAAACAAGTTTTCAATTTTTTTTTTGATATAGGGCGAATTTGTCGAATAATTCTTATATATCCATACTAACCAGAGTTTTGGTGGTTCACCTTCTCTCTGAAAGAGTGCAGTTAGTTTTTTCCTAAATTCAATCATTGTGCTGCATAAATTACGTTTTAGATTAATTCATACCAAGAATATATTAAAAACAGAACAAGGGATACACTAATTTCAACAAATGTTTTTAAAAAACAATTACGGTCAGCATTTTTCCCATTTAATGAGCCAATATTTGTAAAACTCTCAATAATATATTGGGAATCTCCTAAATTCTTCCTTGGGAAATCATTCCAGATCTGTAGAATTTTGACTGAAGTGCGATTCTCCTTCAAATACAATTTATTAAAAGAGAAAAACCTTTTCAGGAAAATGTTCTGGCCCAACCATGTGCTTCTCATAATTGAATTCTTTTGAGATATCATTTCTACGAGGAAGATATCGGTACCAGTGTCCAGTTTTTTTGTACACCCACTGGTCTAAAAGAGTTACGAAAATTTTTAAGTCAGTTCTTCAGAGAGTTTCCGTACAAAAGTTGATAATCCGTTGTAGTATATAGCGCAAAAACTGAACAAAATTTAAAAAAAAACTAAAATAAAAAACCGACATTTTATGGCACTAGCATTCAGTAGGCGGAAATATCACAAAAAAATTTCTACTTAACTAATATTACTGATGGAATTTCGATGAGCGGACAGTGAATCAATAAAGGAGGAAATCATAATTTATTTTAGATGAGAATTCAAAACGTAAATGAACTTATTTGAATTCTAATAAGAGCCTGAATTAGCAGAACTATACAGTATAAAACAAGTCCATTAAGTAATAAGACCAATTTTTCAAGGCAAAAGATATAAATGCATGTAAAATACATTTGTAGCAGATTCAGATAATGAAAAAATCAGACAGTAAGCATTTCAAACTTATATGCTAAAATAACTTTAACTTACTTCTAATAACTTTGGCCATCGTTTATCTGAATCGCAGCTTTCTGTGATTGTTATTAGCGATATGAAAGAAACTGGAAGTCTGAAATGACACTGTTATTAATGCTTCTCTAAACAGAAAGTAATGTCGTCAACAAATGAAATGTTACGTTATAGCTGATATTACAATACGATTTATTTCATATTAGCCCCAATCCCTACGCAGACGTGTGATGCGTCATTCTTGACTTGCATACCCTTCAGCAAAATTAAAGGAACCAACTTTGAGGAGAGGATCCGGATGTTCCTGAAGTTTATTATCCTCTTTATCCCATTCTCAGAATCTTAGTCGATGCGTATGTCGCAGATGTCCTGCCAAACCCAACATTTTAGGTCTGCTCAACTTCCCCACTCTCTGGTGAAGCACCCATAACCGTATTATTACCCTGACCACTCGGGATATCCCTCCCATACTCCTATTGCATTCAATAACTATCCCCAAATCCCGAGCTACAAAAGAACATCTCTGCTACAAAAACGACCCGCTGAAACAAATCTCACTTCGCACGTTGAATCTAAACCATTGTCCGCCCCTCTCCGCTCTACTGTGGGAAATGTTATCCCGAGGAGATTGCTGAGCTTAAATCTTATAGTCTTTTAGTATCTAGTAATCCAGTAATCAATCAAAACTATGGAGTTCCCTCGTCACATCTAATTTTGAACTTTATGTCTCCTCAATCCATTTCCTGACTGCATGTGCTCTCTAACCCACTGCGAGTATTGTTCTTGACTCTCATCTACAGACAGCCAGCCGCCATATTATTGTATTTGTTATTTTTAATTTCCAAGCTATTGTTTATCTAACGAAGACTAGCATCAACCTCGAACCAACAGATATGTTGGAATATCATTCCTCAGAGAGTCTTATTAATATATAATATGCGGTAATATCTCCTGCGTTTAGTAAATGTATTTTATTGCTGATTGAAATACAACAGAAATAGAAGAAAAATAATTATCGTGTAAGGGATCAGGAAGGAAAAAAGAGACGAAAGAGAAAAAGAAGTGGAGAGGGAAAGCAATGCTTCTTAGCTTACTGTTTGGCTCGAGCGTTGAATGTGAGTTGCTCGTTCCTGAAATGTGAACCATTAAGATTTGTCATATGTGGTCTAGAAAGACAAAGCAAACAGTTAAAAAGGAGACAGTATTAGAAAAATGAACCTCGCCCTCCTTATTGTAAAGGATCGTTTGCACATTATTTCCCACTCCGAATGACTCTTCGCTCTCGAAGATAAGCTGTTCAGGTGGTGCATGAACTCCTCCCTGTCCACGGCTCCAAATCTAAAGTGGAATGTATTTGAACTGTAGACTCTTTTTTGTTAAAAAAAAAAGGAACAATTTTGAGATAACGATTAAATCGATTTCTTCCGCAGCAATGTTTTCCATCCAATCAGTGCTTCGAAATTAAAAAACTCAAGGTCTAATTTATAAACAGCCATTCAGAAGTCTTACTTTGACGGTTTTACTCGGTTTTAATATGAAGTCTCTTGGAAGTGTATAAACAATTTCACGTTTTCCATCAATCTTTCTCTTCAGTTTCCATTCGCCAATTGGTTCCTCTTTCGAACGATGTGTATTCTCAAGGATGATGAATTTACCATCCGGTGATGTTTCCTGAATGGAAACATTACCCTTGGCTGAGCGGGTATACGATGTACGAGAAGATGTTTCACCTTTCACCACACGCATTGTTTCTGTAAGAAAAAGAAAATATCACTGATCCAAAGCAATTGTCAAAAAATGGACGGAAATAATAAATCAGTATTGGCCAATAAGGAAGGATCAGTCACTACTAATTAACAACTGTTTTTATTAGTTTTTTATAATGAACGTGGAAATACCAGTGTCTGCAACTTCATTGATGCCTGTAGTACGAACCACTTGTTCAACCAGTTGTTTTAGGCCTGGCCCATCACCTTCGCCTTCCAACATTTTTCTATAAATTGCTATCTCGGCATCCAAAGTCTATAAGAAATCATAATTTAATCCTGAAAGTCAAACTGTTGTTTTAAATTAAAAGAAAAATCCAATCTTTTTAACAATAACAACACATTTATGACTATACCATGAATACCGCTCGAACATCCCCATTTCTTAACTTTCTCTTCTGTTTATCATATATTACACCATTATTGCTAACCTGTTTTGTGTCCAGTAACATTTGCAGTTCAACCATCAACGCTTGACATTCTTCACGCATTTTACGAATTTGTGCATCGCGGTCATTAAGCGCCGCTTCATATGAACGCTGATCATCTTCAAGTTGGAAATTTAATTCTTGAATTTGCTTCTCCAGTAATGAATTCTACAAATATTGATGTAATTTACAAGACGAAGAAAACTTTTGCCCAGTCTTTACAGCAACGTGGTTATTGATTACAATTTTTACGGCACATTTGTGATAATTGTTTGTATGATAACTTTCCAAAAATCAAAATTTGTTTTTAATAAAACAATCAAAAAAGATTCCTCTATTTATTTAATTGACCTGAAATCAAAACAAATTAGAAATAAAGGACAAAATTTGGTAGTCCTAGATTAAAGATTATGAACTCACTCTTCCTTCCAGATCCGCCAACTTTCCTCGTAAATCACCTAGTTGTATACGCAGTCGTTTAACTTCTTCCCGTTGATAACCTTGCTCCATAGTTTGACGCGCTGATTGCGTTTGAATTTCTTGCACCTTCAGTTTGTACCACGACTCCATATCGTTACGATTGGCACTTGTCATCTGTAAAAAATAAATCTTGAATTGATTCAGCTTACTATCATACTACATCCTCGCTATCTGTCGACTAGATGGCAATTTTACAGAAAGAAAAATAAAATCGAGAAAGAAACAGAAAGAAAAATAAGATCGGGCTCAGGTCTTCGATAGATGTTCCCTTTCCCCCAAAACTTGGAAGACATTCTCGGACGTTTTACAATTTAAGTAACAAACCTGGTCATATTCATTACGGATGTCACGAATTGCCGATGAGAGCTCATTTTTGAAAAATTCACGATTCTCGCTAGTGGTATCGCGTGCTGCCATTGCTTGTAAATCACGAATTTCCTGGTCTTGCACACGACGAATGAAATCAATCTCTTCTTGAAGTGTTTGCACTTGGTTTTGATGGTCAATCCGATTTAATGTCTCTTGATCCAGATCCTGAAAACTGTTTATTATATTAATGTCGGAAATCATTTGAGTGTTTATTGTACCTCATCTGAACTGTTTCAAAAAATTCCAAGCGAGGAGTTAGATGATACTAAAGGCAGATTGGAGTGAATCACAAATATCTGTACTTGTCATTAATCTAGACTAATAGCAAAATATTAAATTATAGTATTTCAGGTTTTCATCTTTCCTAAAAAGGACAGCCTAAAAGTCGATCGGTAAATTTTGATCAAGTAGAATGAAACCTTGAACTTCACTATTCTTTTCACACTTCAAGCTTGTCTTTTTGAAAAAGAGATGAAAAGGAGACTTACTGTTCGTGCCCGCTGTAATTCGCCTATAAGGCGCTGATTTTCTTTTTTTATTCGTGAAATTTCTTCTTCTAGCAGAGCAATTCGTCGACGCAGAAGATTGATTTCAGCTTCAATATTTGATAGTGCAACCAAGAGCTCATCAATTTTGTCACGGTCAGACAGACGAGCCTTTGTCGCTTCATCAAACCCACAAAAGTAAAAAATTATATGGAGACAATTTTTGGGCAAAAGTTTTTTATTTAGTTATAAAAGGTCATCAAGTTTCTTTCATTCGATTCCATGGAAGTTAATAACTGCCAAAAATATCTTTAACGTCAATTTATATACTGTTGTGCATTTTCCTAAAAAGTTCCCAAACCATACACAACTTATAGTTGTCGAAAATTAATTAAAAGCGATCAAGTCAAATCCTTAGCGTATTTGAGTCTGGATTTAAGGCATTAAGATTCGTTTTTTCCTTCGATATAAATTCCACGTAGTTTATGGTGGATTTTGGATACACATCATTTATCATTTAATGCAAGTCTTTTCACCATGTATTTTAGCTTATTTCCTTTTTCTTATGATATTAGTTACCAAAATAAAGCAAGTTTCCGGAATCTTTCACCTCATTTCTTCAGTTAATGACTATTCACTGGTTAATCATTTCTTTTCATGATTGAAATAGCAATGATAAATTATAGAGTTTTAGGAACATACTTTCTACGATACTCCGCCAGTTCTTCCTGCATTTTCTTAATTTGTTTCTCCAGCTCATCTCGTTGTTTTCCTGTATCACTGATCACTTTTTGAGCCTCCTGAAAAACATTGCAAAACATTTGTTAAAAAATATTTGAGATAAAACAATTCCTTACTTGATACCCTTCAATAATCATCCATAAAACCTTACAACCTTAACTGAAACAGTCCTTTTTATCTCACTTTTTCCCCTAAATTTCTTTTTTTTTTTTTTCACGAAATGCAATCACCACATTGTACACAACCATTTTATTATTAATTAAATTCCAAATGACAGAGCTAACGAAAAAGGAGAGCAACAGCTTCAAGTAGCTCTTTTGAATAGCAGTATCACATTCCAGATTATTCCTTCATATAAAATTGCAACTCTTTCTGTTTTACTCGCCAAATCGGTAAAAATAGAACTTCAGAATTTAGAACATTTCCTCGCTTTTTCCTTTTTACTTCAATTATTTTTTTGTTAACTGCCACCTAAATTTCTCTGTTGTTTACTGATTTAGTTATTTCTATTAGTGATACTAATAAACTAAGAATACTTCACTCAAAAATTCTTGTATTTTCGTTGTTGTTAACGAAGCAATGTTACTTTGGAATTCTAATTTTTTACTTGATTTCTTCGAAAGATGCGCTCGTCTTGGTGATTAGGTAATCATTTAAGCTAATAGGAATTAAGTAGTTCAATCTTTTTCCTAGTTTGTTTTGTAAACCAATATTTCATAAAGGTGCATTTTACAATACAATTTATGTTAAAAGCTTACAGAAAGTTCTCCCTCGAACATTATTTTAATACTCGACGTATCCTTTCCCCATCGTCCACGTAACATATCCAAATCAGCATTCAGTTTACGGTTCTGTGCTTCCAAAAAACGTACCTGCATTGTGAACGTAGCTTGAATTTACGTCAAATTAAATAGTTTTTTTAGATTTAATAAAATTTTTTGAAGCAACCTTCTCGATATAATCAGCTAAACGATCATTTAAATCACTCATTTCCTTCTTCTCTCGTTCACGAGCGTCACGAATGGTGGATGCAGCATTCTGACCAAACGGTGACATACCACTGGTCAGTGAAGAAGAACTCATTTCTGTTACCACTTTCACTACTCGATTACCGGATGCTAAATAAATTACTAAATCAATTTTAAAATTGAAGTGAAAGTGATGACTAATTTCATTAACTTTCCATAAATAATGTCAAATTTTTTATAAACCAATGCCACTTGATAGAAGACTACTACTTACAATATAAATCAATCTATGTACAATAAGTTTTGAGTGGCATTTTCACTTATTCATTTCAAATGACGTAACACACTTACAATAATATATGCAGTGCCTAAATTATTCCACCTCATTTCTTAGTGCATAAACGATAGACATAAGAATGTAGTTCTTATTATTCAAGTTGTTAGTTTTAATAGAAACAACGTTAGTATAAATACGTAAACTAAGGCTGAGAAGTAAAAGATAGAGTGTGAATACGTGATGCGTAATACATCCGCAACATAAACAATTTGATATTTGAGCAGAGATGGAGTTATCAGCAGTGCCAATAGAAAGAGATTCAAGTTGACGAGAACCTCCTCCACAATAGGTCACGCATTTACTTAACTTTATACAGTTGGATGGCGCCTTCTGATACCCCATGTCTCTTTATTACCCGTTCTATCCCGCGACCATTGTTTATCCATCTTCCATGCGCTTTGTCAGCCTAGGCTCCAGTTTGGTATAAATTGTCGGTTAGTTCGAATCTCTGTGTTGTCATGTTCGTTGTAGTCGTCTTCCTTGTCGTCGAATGCTTTTTTTGTAAATTATTCTTTTTTTGTTGTGAATTTATGATGCGTATTTGCACTTACATGCCGATTTTTATGCATGTTTTTACTATTCTTAGTCAATGTTATTTCCAGCTGAAGTGATTCCTAACTTAACCTGTCTTTAAATCAATCACGTAAAGTTTTCACTCATCAAAGCTAATCAAACATTATGTATTCTTCGTTTCTCTTTCTCAGTAAATCTTTAAAAAATTAAAAAAATATGATGTAAAAATGTTATAAAAACTTACGAAGCCCTCCAAAAGTACTTGAACTGGTTGTTGAACTAATACGGTTGTAACCGGGTCGTGCCGATATTGTACTACGATATTCACTCATTTTTGTTCACTACGATTTAAAAATTCTGAAATTTTCTCTTTTTTAAGATGGAATGATCAAGAATGCGCATGAACACTTCACAACCGAAAAGCATATAAAATCAGTAATGAATGCACAAATTTGTATCAAAATAAATCGAAGATAAACATTATAAAGATGCTCCGGATTTGTAAATTAAACTGATTTTTAAATATCAAATTTTTATATTTTATTAAAGGAAGTTTTTAAAACGAATTAACTGCATGAACAAATACATCTTTCCAAATCTTTTATCAATTAAAAACAATCAAAATCCCCACCTCCCATATTTTCTCTCCCTTGGTCTGAACAGAACTTCAGCAATGAGATTTTTCGACCAAATCTTTTAAATCAAAAGATTAATTCAAACATCTAACAACTGGTTTTCAAAATTTCGATTTTTTTAAAGGAATCATAGAACTTGTATGCTGAGATTGGAAGAGAAAAGTTCCGAAAGAAATTTTTCCTTTTACATTTCTATTTGTTTCTTTTGATAGAGCACTAATTGGAAGAAATTTAATTATCACATGCAAAATTCCGCAAATAAATAATTAGCCAGCTAACAACTAAAAAATATATTGGAGTTGTGAAGTGGTTTTTTCTATCTAGTCACTAAATCATTAAACATCTAAGAAGAAACCGCCCCTTTTTTAAAGAAAATGATTTTTGATTAATTGTGGTTCGAGGAGATGAATTACTTGCTGGTCGAAAAATAACTCTGTTGTCTACAAAGATTTTTAAATTCCACCAGGTTTTAAGAATGAAACCTGGAAACATCAGAAAATTATCAAATACACAGAAAACATTATATTATATTTACATGAATAAACAGACGTTCAAGTCCTAGGCCAAATATAAGTCTTATCTATCTGTCTATGAATCGAAACAGAGTGAGGCCAAGTCAACCAAGTACTGCTTCAAATCTTCAAAGCAGATAATGAAGTTCATGAAATATTCTGCCATAGAGTTGAAACTTGCAAACATGTTGAGGGAAAATTATGATCAAAAAACCGAATTTGAAAGAATTTATCACTTCATAAATAATGCACTATTTGCCAACGCGACAAAATAAATTGTTCCACCCTCAGTCAAAAAAAAAAAATCTTAACTGAATTAGATATAAAATTAACTCACTCAACTTCTTTTTCTCTCTCTCTCTCCCTCTCTTTCTCTCTATTTTCATCGCATAAAGTAATGAAAACTATAAGCTTTATCTTTCCATTTGGGAAGAGATGGCGATTTCAGATTTTTAAAAAGCTAAAAAAAAACAGATATATATAAATCTGGAAGAAAAAGCGGATATAACCTGTCAATGATGAATATATATGTAGCAACGGACGTGAAATTACATTCTGTAATATTTGAAAGGAATTATTGTAACTTGGATCTAAGCTAAAAGGAGGGGAAGCGAAACACTATAAGGAAAGATAGATGGGAACATCCTTACAGTAGATTACAAATCACAGTTTCTTCTTGACCTTTAGTTCCTCCATTTTACTTGACTTCTTGACTTAAATGATTGTTGAAGCATGGTTTTTTTACAACGGGAAAAAGTCTGTCTCGAAATGATCTATCCATATTGCTTGTCTCCCTGCTAACTGCAAATTTATCTATATTCCAGCCGAAACCATAAAAACTACTGTACTGGATGAAGATGCAACCGGTCGGTACGAATTTAATGTGAATAGTATGGATGGAGCAAACTGAACAACAAAAACGAAGGGTGGAACAGTAGGAACCCTCGCTACCAGTCAAGGACACTATCAGCTCGCCATCACCGCCCTTAATCATTCAATCATACATTTTGCGTTATCCAATAAAATTAATGACTTCTGATGGTATGAGAAAATGGGGAATCATAGAGACCTCGATACAGCGACATAAGTAACCTTACTGTGTACATGTTGTGCAATTTCATTCCATCGACGCCAATTCCTATTCTTCCTATTTTAACTTTTTTGTTAAGTATCTATTTCGGAAGAAGATAAATTGAGGAATATTCATAGAAAAATATTGTCCAACTGAGAAGTGATTCAATAATTACCATTCAAGTAAGAACTATATGGTACTTATTTGGATGACGGAAAATAGCAAACAGGAGAATTCTTCCTCGAAATGATCAAGAATGAATTCTTGATCATTTCGAGGAAGCTAAACTTGACTGCTATAAAAATGTGTATACAATTTTAAACTTGAACTGATTTCATTCTTCTTGAGTGATGGCTGGAAATATTCATAAGCGAACAAGTCAAATAATTAAACAAAACAATTTCCCATGAATTAATTCATTTGGCGTTATATCCAATGTGAAAGAAAAGACTTCCAATCTGACACTCTTTCATTTTCAAAAGATCATTTTAAGGACAAGTATTATTGCTTTTATTGATCTAGAAAAGACTCATCTCATTTCTCGAGGGCAGGAAATCACAGCAATAGCTGAAGTACAACTACGAATCATGCATGAATTAAGCTGCTGGATGGAAAAAAAAAATGGAGATAGGTTGAATTCGAATTCATTTTAGCAAAAAATGCAAATGATGTAAACTTATTTTTAGTATTCAAAATCGTTAAAATTTTTAGTTATTAGTCCGAAATAGACAGAGAAAATCATGAGGAGAAGTAAAGCAACATTTAAAATTTAACAGAAGTTCTATATATATGAAGCTCAGAACAAGAAAGGACCGTAGAATATTCCACGATGATGTAAAGACATCAGAAATTATAATTTTTGTAATTACCATAACACTTTGCATTACAGTGATTAAGTCGAACATTGGAATGTATAAAATATTAATAGAATAATAATGATCTTTTGGACTTGATAGAATACCACTCATCATTAGTTATAGAATCACCCGAGTCGACGGTAATAGATAAACTTCGTATCAAATTCAGTTGAAAATTGAAATGAGCAAATTTTCTAATACCATTGCTCAATGTATCTTTCAGCCTTTCAGTGCCTTTTTTTTGCATAAACTCGTTTGAAAAAGAGATAATTTTACTAGTGAAGGGTTAGGGATATCAACAAGACATCAGATTTAAACTATTTGTTACTGATAAGTGATTCATTAAATGAAAATATGCTTTGAATGGGGTGGGTCTAATAGAATATTAACAATGATTCATTCCTTTAAACAATTCAATCTTTCATTTCCCACCAATTCTTCAAATGTTCTGTCTAAGAATGCATTTACTAGATGAACTTGCCATTGTATCTTGCAGGGAGTCGAAGTCTCCTGCATTTAAACCTGATGTTATCGATCGAACCACTTCCTTCAATTACTGTTATATGAAGGTCAAAAAATTATTACAACTGGAAAGACTACAGACTGTCAAAAAATCGAAAAAGGGAAAGAGGAAGTTTTAATATGCACAATTTCTAAAGTACTACTTATTTCTGGGAAGTTGAAATAATTTTACTGGATAACTGCAAAATAACGACAGTACATAATCCATTAAAGACTGTACATAATTAGATCGATGCAAAGTAAATCTCAAGTTGAAGTAAACTGAAAATTCACTGATAAAATCAAGTAAGCGCTTCAAGATTTGATAAAACACGAAATAAACAAACACGAATGTACACTTTTAATGTCTTTACAGTTTATTAATGATCTCAACTACCTACTTGATTCATTTTTACTCATATACTTCAAAATTTTTTCAACCCTTTATTTTGCAAAAAAGAATTTAGGTTGCATCACATCAGTTTGTTTTCAAATTTAAAAAGATGGACGTAGAGTACTTGTACTGATCTTACTTAATAATCTGTGTTGGTATTTTAACTAATTTCATTTCTTTCTTAAATTCTTATTCAAAATTTCTCAACTACGAGAACTATCTAAAACAATTCATAAGTTATGATATATTTAGAGAAAAAACAAGGGCGTAGGGTGAAAAGAATTCAGAAAGGAAAGAACTATCTCACAGAATTATCAACACAAATGGAACCATCATTTGCATAAATGAGATAAGAAGAAAAAACGGCAAATAAAGCAGCCATCTGTTGTGCATTACAATACCGCAATTGCACATTTTTTATAAAAATATGGAAATTAATATTGATGGAAATATGAAGAGAAAAGGAGAGATAAAGGAAGAAAGAAAGGATGGAAATAGAAGGGAATGTATTTTTAGCTTTTTCTCTTCTTTTCTATAAACGGGGAGAAATCACTGAGATGACGATTAATATCACGCCTACTTCTCAGATATTCTTCTATTAGCAGAAAGAGCTACTTGCTGCTGTTGAAATTTGTATGAGCTGCTACGACATCTAACAATAAACGAAATTTGTATGAGCTGCTACGACATCTAACAATAAACGAAATTTGTATAAACTGCTACGACATCTAACAATAAACGAAATTTGTATGAGCTGCTACGACATCTAACAATAAACGAAATTTGTATGAGCTGCTACGACATCTAACAATAAACGAAATTTGTATAAGCTGCTACGACATCTAACAATAAACGAAATTTGTGTGAGCTGCTACGACATCTAACAATAAACGAAATTTGTATAAGCTGCTACGACATCTAACAATAAACATCAAGTCATCATTTCCAGTGAATAATTATTTTCATACAGCTTTACAAATGAATAGATGAAAACTAAACAGATGTTGAAACTAATATTTAATGTCACTTATGTGATACTATGATAAAAAGAACCGCTTATGATTCATTCTGAACTTATTAATATTACGTTTAGAATTGTTGTTATAACACATCTATGCAATAAGTGAAAAGATGATGGCTCATATTTAAATGAATCGTTTCAAATTAGAAAAATAATTTGTGAGCATTACTCCTTAAAAACTTACAAACAACCAGACATTTTAAATTGAATAACAGTCACTGATACAATAAACACTAGTTTTACTTCTTTAAAATATTTCAGCCACTGAAATTCTTCGACCTTTCTCCATTTTAAAAAAGGGGAATGTGTGGATATTCCTTTATATCTACACCAAATTCTTCTTTACACATCATAGATGGATTTACTTTTATTTGAAAAACTGCATGACAAATTCTTAGATTTTAAATAAATAATTTTGAACTATAGAATTGTGATTTCTCTTACTTCCACACCTCACCGGGCTGTCGGTTTAAATTTCTCAAACTTTTGCAGTAGAATTATCGTTAGTAACCTTTTCGTCACTTACAAATTGCTATAGTGGAAATACTGTTAAATGTAATGATTTGATCAGTGCTGACAGAATGGCTATATTGCTGAGCAGTCATTTCTGATTGTTTCTTAACGGTGACAGAAATCAGAAAGAATAGCTCATAAAATGAAATTATAAATCCCGCAAATATTTCAATCTTCGAAACTATAAGAGACTTCCTAATCATTTATTCATTTTTTATGACTAATAAATGATCTCGAAGAAGCTTCTGTGATTGGCAAATAGTAATTATCCTCAAATATTAGAAGAAAAAAACCATTTTTGAGACTATATGAATTAAAAATAGTTTGTAAAAGTGAAACTGAGGGAAGCAAAAGAGAAGTGAGAAAAGGGGAAAAAAGTAAGCAATGCGCAAAGAGTGGTATCAATTCATTTCTTTACACATTTGAAACTCTCAGCTTCCTCGAATAAATCCATTGTTTTAATAGCAGATAACATCTTAAAATAAATACTTAGAATGTAACGAACACTTCAAAGATCGCTTCATGATATATGATTGGCGTACTTGGTAATAGTTAACTTACTCATCACTTCTTATACCATTTCTTCCAACAGCGTTTTCCTCTATTTATTTTTTTGTTTATCTGGCAGTGAATAGAACAATCAGCACTTAGAATGTCGAAAAATATAAGTCAAATAACAATACGCATATGCGTGATGTCATCTAATAATACTTGTTAGATTCAAAAATTCACTGTAGCCAACAAACTGCTTCTACCAGTTTTCGCAAAAAAAAAAGTAATAAACGTTTAGGCAGCACTTGTTCATTTTTCAATTGATTCAGTTGAGTGGAGTCCTTGCACAAAAGGCACTAAAATAAAGTTATGCATCTACAGAAGACAGAAGATGACGATGACACCACTACCGACTACATTTTGTTGCTAAGAAAGGTAGCAGAATCCTGAAATCCACAAAGATTGAACGTGGAATGCCAAAAGAGAAAACTTTATTTAGTAAAAAGTAAGGCAGCTAGACGGAAAAGTGTTGACAAATTGCACACTTTTTTCAGGTATTAACCGAGTTCATTTTTTTGTTTCCATTTAATGGTAACAAATGGAAAAAAAAAAGATGATTCCCATTAAACGGTATCAAACGATTTCGTTTTTTCGTTCGATGACAGCCAGCAGAACAAGTTCTCTTGCTCTTCCCACTCTATCATTTCATACCTTTCGGTCTCTTCACATTTGTTGTAACTGAATATTCCCTACTTTAAAAATACAACACATTTTGCATTTCTATTTAAGCCATTCAAACAAACACAGTAAAGCTTGATTTCACTCCAAATTTCAGTCTATGCTTGTCAAAAACGACCAAATCTTCAGAGAAAATCAGAGAAATGAAATTTCAAAGATCAATCTGATAGTTATTTATTTGAAAATAAAAATTATTTAATTGGAAAAATCTTTAAAAAAGCCTAGATTGAACCCTTCAGGGTGAAATTTTAGAAAGTATTGTTTGAGAGACATAACAGATAATAAAGAAAAAATTGGTCAAAATTTAGGAATGAAACAGATGGAAAGGATTCCACATAAATGTCAATATGGAAACTACGCAACTTCACCGAGTGTCTTTCAAACTAAAGCAGTCATTGGATATAATTCAATTTTAAAAACTAAACCAGGCAGTGGCAAGATTCTGGGAGTAACAGTCTTCTTTCCCCTAGAAATTAAGAGATTTGCACTCAAAAGCAGGGCGTATGACACGGAAAGCAGAGCAGCACCCACTTGTACATACATACATACATACATACATACACATACACACACACACACATATACATGCACTATTTTTTAAGGGAAGTGAGGCAAGGAAGAGTGTAGAAATGGTTGAAGTAGATTCATTTTATCGTAAAATAAACTAAAGTGGATATTAAAATAATAGAGAAGAGGGCGCATTTGTGCACGGTCTGACTAGAGAGAGCGTATCTATTGAACGCACCAAAAGAGAAAACTTTTAAGTCAACTTTCTGAGCAAATCAACAAAAAATTGCTTTCAATGTTGAATCAATTGTCATAAAAATTTAAGTTTGATTACTATAATTTGACCGTCTTAACGAAAATATTTAAAGCACTGAAAATTGTACTCTACCATCTAATCATTAATTCAATTCAATGATTTCAATTAACATTTACTGTAAGAAATTCCTAATTATTTGTAAAATAGAAACAAAACTTTTTGGGGGAGTATTAATAATGTAGATTAAAATCATCCCAGAACTTCAAATATATTCGATCATTCGTATTTGCATTAGCCAATCAAAATGTTCACAATCATTATCAAATTACACCTTTTATTAGCTAACAGAAATTTCTTCTCCAAAACTAAAGTAGCAATTGGAGAGTAAGATTTTTTGTATGGCGCATGTGTGTGGAGCGACAAAAGTTGTATGACTTGTACATACTGATAATGGTGATAAATTTCCAGTCGTGGTTTTGATGACTGTTTTAATAGGAAGAGCTTTTGAAACGGGAAGTATTATTCCGAGACTGCTTTGGATTTCTATATTATTCTTCTACCTTATCCTCAAACAAATTGTCAAGGATTAAAAAAAAATTATAATTAATGAGTTTAGAAGTCCCACACCACTTTGAATTCCTACCCCTATCCATTAAAGTCATTATCACAAAAAGAATGAAGTTCCTTTGCAGACAAAAGTTTTCCCTACAAGCCGAACAAAGTAAATCTATTTCGCAAAACAGTCGCGTATTAACTAAACAACACTGCAAGTCCTACACTCAAAATTTTTTGGTTTAATGCTTAACTAGACTGAGGTTTACTTTTCGCTTTAACGAGATATTTGCTTGTCAACTTTTCCAAACTACCATTGTTACCGCTAGCACTATTTCAACTGACGATGTCACTCCAACCAAAATCTTCAAATACAAAGACATTGTTGGTAATAGATCCGAGGATTTCTCAGACTTTCTCAGGCAGATTATTTTGTACTTAATGAAAAATCGAAATCTTTACACATGAACCTGACTGTTCGATTACTTATTTTTGTGCTTTTCTACATTTTACATTATTGTTCTGGACACTTCGCATCCTCTAATCCACTGTGTATAACGTTCTCAAATACAAAAAAGCAAAACTTTTCATGAAACATGTAAAATACAATATGTCAAAATGTAAAACGAGTTAACCTTAACAACAGACAAATACAGATACTGCTCAACATTTTTTATCAATTTATTTATACATATGTACTACTGCTGCTTGAATTTGTTTTATAATACCAATTCAGCATACCATTTATAAACCAAGAAAAGAAAAAACTATTCGTCATTTATAGGGGCAAACTTTCTTCCATGGAGACCAGATTTTATTCACTTCAAATAAAACAATCTTTTCAGGGTTTCTTCATATTAATAACAGGAAGAATGGAGATAATAATACCATTACCATATATTGTGGTCCTCACATCATAGTAGCTAAAGAACTTAGCATGCGAGTTATGAGCTTCGATGCTAACGTATCAGAAACACTGCGTAATACAAGAACTGTAAAACAACTGATCCTTATGAAACCAAAACCTCTTGATTTTGACACAACATAAACGGGAGAGCACAGTATAACGGCTGCCAAGTTAATGAAATACAGATGTTCGTGCGCACTTAAAAGAAACTTGGGAAATGTAGGCTAATATAGAATCAATTTATGCAGAATTATGAGGACCTGCATATCAATAGAGGGTCAAATTTAAAAACCCTAAAGAAGTGAAAAAAATATTTGCAAGAGAAACTATTCAACAGTATTAGCAGAGAAACAGTTTATTAAATCGCTCAAACTGTTAGTGAATTCAGTTACGGTGGTCTAGGTCTATGCAAAAAAGTAAAAATATTACGTTCATCTGAATTATATGCACGTGTTTCTGTCATCATAAACCAAATCTTATAAATGTGGCAAGAAGACAAAACAAATCCAAATGAACGGATATTTCTACTACCAAAATGAAATAATACCCAGAGAGTAACATCAATTTTCCAAGTCAAATTTTGATATGAAGGTTCTTGGAAAGCTCGGCCTTTTTCGAAAAAGAATTCTTCCACAGTATGCAAGCAAACCACCTAGTCACCTCCCAAAAGAAATACGAAAAATGATAAACAAACGAACAGAAAGAAATGGAAATACCTACATGAAAATGAAAAGTTGTAAGAGAATGAAGAAAATGCAAAGTGTATAAATTTGGTGCAACTCAACAATAATAAAGGATAATAAATCCAAAAAAATAATAATAATAATAATAATACAAAAGGATTTCACAAATGTCAGCAATAATGGTAGACACAAGAAAAAAAATTAAAGCAAAAGAAGGGTTCAATACCTTAAATAGTTTATGAAACTTTTTTACTGAACAAAATGACCACCAACTTGCTCTTGATAAACCTGAAAAAAATATATAAAATTAAAAATTGGCCATACTTTGCTATTTTCCAGATGAAAAGAAAAAAGAACGAAGCTTAAATACTACAGTCTACCAGAAAGGCTTGCTATATGATGGGAATACTAGGACTGGATAATACCTATACATATGTAATATGTAGTGCAATTTGGCCTGAACAAATGCGAGACCAAACTTCGCTCCAACTGTAAATGTCGACTATAATTAACTAGGAACGAAAAAAGACAGAACACAACTTTTTGACAGATCTTCACTATAAAGCGACTGTCGGGATGAAGACTTATTACTTCCATTTCAAAGGAACAGTTGAGCTTTGGAATCAACATGGAATTAACTTACTTCAATTATATCATCCTCTTCAATTTCCAGTGTCTTAGGAGTATCTTCATCATTGATTCGCCGTCCGTCAAATAAAAAGCGCAATGAACCAACATCAACACCCATTCGATCTGCATAAGACTTTTTCAGTTTCCCCATGCTTGTGCCAAACTTCACACGAAAATGTACCTCGTTCGAGTCCTGAAATGAAGAGGGCTTCTGACAATCCTCTGAAGGTTTAGTAATATCAAATCGAGAAAAAATCACACTTCAGTAAAAAATGAAGCCGTAAACATTACATGCTGTCCGAAAATAAATTATACCTGTCCTACAACTCTCAATTTGATATATTCGGAAGAAGAAGCTGGTGCTGGTCCAGTTGCTGTATTATTGTTACCAGTAGTCTTACATGATGCTTGTGACTGATCTGCCATTATTTCCAGATTCGTTCAGGAAAATTTGTACGTCAAAATGCACCTCAGCTAGAAAATTTCTTAAATTGAAAAATCAGTAAGTGGTATTAACAATTTTATTACGCAAAACAAAATTGACATTAACATACCCACTTCCTGTGAGTTTGAATCATAATTTTATCGCTTGATGAGGAAATGGATAAAATACATGATTTTACGGCGATAACACAAACGTTAAGAAGTTCGCAACATGATTGAAATAAATTCCAATGTTACAATAAACTAATGTGCTACTTTTCATATCAACTGCTACTGTCTTTCAAGAATCAGTTCCATTATTTTCCCACTTTTTCTTGTCAGGCGATGAAAATCTCTTTCCAGTGAACATACTCATGTGAAGCATTTTTGAAATTGGAAAGCATCACATAATGTCACCTTTACTTTAACGATATATAAAATCCCGACCAAAAACAATTATAGCACATGTATTTTTGGAATAAATTGAACGTATGCAACAAGATATGGTTATGTTATGCAAAATAACTAATATTCAGTGCACAGTTCTCCGATGCTTTCTAAGACTGAAGTTCAGTACGTACAGTACTTAGTGGAATTTTTGAAATGGACCATCAATAAAACAATACCCAGAAACTTAAATTTAAAAATAAAGCAATCCATTTCCATGCTAGCAAATCTGGGTAAATTCTAACGGAAGGATTAGATAAGTACCAATAATTAGAACCAAGGACAGCTCGAGCACAGCCCCCAACAAACACCTCTCAAAACTGAGACCACCGAAAGCTGTACACGACCCAAACTGTTGCGGCTGCTTAATCTTTAATGCGGCCGCCGAGACCAACTGTGGTCATCTGCTCACCTTAATGCAACTGCTATGATCTCAGAATTTTGTTGTGTGAGCGGAGACAACCACGTAAATGGAGTCATCAACATTATTAGGATTTTATTTTAGCGAGAACTTTCTTGTAAACTGCAAACACATCTACGAATCCGCGGCTCTCCCCATAATATACTTGCGCATTCTACGCCAAAATAATTACTAAGCACTCGTATCTGTAACCATTATTGAAAAAGGTTTAACAGCTGCAAAAGTTAGCTTATTAGCCTATGTAACTGCTAAGAAAATTTTAATCACTCTGTCTTCCATTTTCCACAAGACATTTTTGAAACTCTGTTTCTTTGTTTAAGATGTACTAGTTAAAGCAATAATAACTGTAAAAGTAATCCATTACGAAAATAAAAAACATAAACCAAACATTGTAATTAGCAATTAGACAACTTACTACAATGATTATTTTAACGGCATAACTAAAATACTCAAAGCAACAAAACTGAGTACAACTGTCACATATATTATACTAGTGTCCTAAAAAAACTATAAAAATATACAAGAAATTTAAAAACTAAACTGCAATGATCATAAAATTATATATAAAAACAGATATATAAAAATTTTTCGATCTTGTACTTTACACAACTTCGCTTAACCAAAACAGCTTCAACTAGATGCTAGTGGCCACTTAACAATTATCAGAAGCTTAAAGCTGAATAAAACCCCAAATTATTGTTAAATAATATCATTATTTCTCGATGAGAGATAGCTTTATGATACGTTCTAACTCTTCCTCTTGCCTTTCGCATGCTTTCAGCCTTTCTTCCTCTTCTTTTTGCGATAGCCGTATTGCAAGCTGAATATCGTCGTCCTAAAATTTCAAAACCGAACAAGATGTCATTGCGAGTTAGAACGGTTGCAAGTTGTAACTAGTGCAATGCGCATGGAGTTAGACTATTTAGAAAATTTTCAGTGCTATCACAAAGAAAATCATGCATGAAAGCGTTAACCATTTAAAAGAATAAAAAAGTACCATAAAAGATTGACGCTCTTTGATATTATCGGCAGTTGTAGTACCTTCTCTCATCATCCGTTCCAGACGAAGCGTTCGTATGCTTTCTCCTATAGCATATGCTAAATCTATGTCTCCATGCCAATCAGAGACATTGTTCACGGATTCTGCAATACAGGTATTAATACTTGCTGCTGATGGGCCTGCTGTCTCACGCATACTTTGCTCCAGTGCGAATTGTAGGTAGAGTTCATCTTCTGATACGTCTGCAATACAAAAACATCCAAATTATCCCAGTGAACAATTCAAAATATTTTTCTTTTTCGAAATGGGAATCATCTCGATCTTTACAATATATTTTAAATCTGTCGCTAGAGAATAGTAAGAACTTATAATCAAATCCAAAACAATCTTGCCTGAATCAATTAAGCGTGTGAAAATGGTAGCTTCTATTTTTAGACCGGTAAATGCTAATATCTTACTTTGTATCCTACATCCAACTATAAATATAAATGAACAACGATCGAAAGCACTTCGATTTTCGATTTAGAATTCCAGTAATTAGTAATTATGAAGAAAAAGATGAACTAACATCGTCTCGATGCAAGATTTCCATTAGAACCTACTTCGCGAACGGTAGTATTTCCGCTTATACATATGCCACAATCGGGGTTGTTCAAGGAACTGTAATACTCGGGGATTTCAAAAGTAGCCGGATCGACTTCTACCTGAAAACACACAATTTTCATTTGTAAGATATATCTTTCATGCTCATAATGTCCTGAAAGTACCGATACGAGGATTCACGTCAGACAAAAATTAAATTAAAACTTACCTCGTTTGATGAAACATTGTAAGAAACATGAGGTCCTGTTATATTTATAGCCGAAAATGTAATTCGTGCGCTAACAACATGAAACAGTGGAATTTCAATTTTTACAGGAAAACCAGCTGGTAGCTGAAGCTGGATGAAATTCTTCAGCCGAGCGAAATGGGCATTGTTCACAGCCATTAGATCAATTATCGGTAAAACTTGATTCTGAAAAAAATCAAATTGAAGATGAAAAAATTTTAAGTGGTAAAGATAAATGGAATTCGTTGTGACAATGTTTGCTTCCCCATGTTCCAAGCAAAGATTCATGATAAAAACATGCTTCAGGACAGCAAATCTAACCGTTTCTTTAAACAAAATCTGGAGTTTCATTGTGAGAAAGTATTATTTCCCAAAATGTCAAAAAAGATCAAGACTTTGAAAAGACTAAAAACACAGTGTTAAACATGTTAGTATTTATATAAAAACTGAACCTGCAAATCGAGTGGATAATGGTCACAAAGCCATAAAGTAGCTTTAAATGAACTGGTCTTCTTCGTCACCTAAAAAGAATATTTTAAACAATGTTACTGCATAAAGTGTTCTACCAAAACGGATTTCTCAGACTTTAAATTCAATTACTGAAAACAAACGATGAAAGGAAATTATATTCTTAAAAAAAAAAAAATGCATTACATGAAATTGTTTATAGTTAAAACATTTAAGGTTGAATATTCCAGAAATTAAAAGATGAACTTATAAAATACTTGCTACACTATCCATTACAGCGTTAGTTATATTTTCGATGTAGGAGAGCTTCAACAAATAAACTTTAAACTTGCTTCACAGAATTGAATCTCTCGACTATTACCATTGAAAGATTTGTGCCGTCACCAAATATTCCGAAAAAAATAGAACCTGCTTTGGTAATCCAATGTCGCGATTATTCATAGAATAATTCTTATCCAAATACTGCTGCGGTGTCAGCCCACAATATACATCATTTCCCGTTTGTCTCATTTCGCTAGTGCATTTCTGATGTCTTTCAGCCAATTTTAACACCATGTACAAAGGATTTTCATGTTCTTCACGTCGAAATCTGCAAAATGATCATGTTTGATACCAAATTCTGATATTCAATCTTCTAAAAAATTAATTTCTCTAGTTCATTAAATTTCTCTAATGTTCGAATAATTTTAGTACTTTAATTGACATTTTCGAAATATTAATTAAACTAATACAAACATCTCTGATCCAAAAATCTCCTGATGTTTATGAGATCTTTTATAGAATCATTTAAAATCCTCTGATCATTTTTTTAAATAGGATAAAAAGGGTAACCCATATATTAAACTAACTTTTCCTTATCTCTTTCCAACAAGTGTTCTGTACGCGTCTTTGTCACTATATCAACATTACTTGCATTAAAAACCTAGAAATTCTTTAATTTTTTATTCATGTATGAAAAAATAATCCTGAAAACAACAACATCTATTATTTTCGTCACCATTTATTTGCATGACAAGTTCGAGAAGACGAAAATATCGTTCCTTTGAATAAAAATTATTTTGAATAATTCGTCTAATCCTTTCCCAATATCTTGAAAGTAATAAAAGAGAATACATACCTTACATTTATATCCATCCACTTCTTCTACACGATCTGATGACGATAACCAAGAGAAAAGACCACCACCTTTCGACCGTTCGAATCTGTAAAAAAATCATTACCATCCCCTAACTATCAGAGGAAAAATGTCGAAAAAAAATCTGATAATAGATGTGAGGAAAAAGCTTTGTTTTATACAAACCCGATTTTTTCTACATCAATGAAAGTAGTGTCAACAGGTGACGTCATTCGTGAATAAATAGCTTCTTCAGGTGGAACAAAATCTCTGAGATCATTGGTGGATTGTGAATCCATAGTATGAACAGTAGCCTGGAAATACTAAGACTGGTATTTAATTTTACGATTTCGTAAAATGTAGTTATATATTTCAGCTGTCAACATTCTATTTTAGTTGAATTATTACAATATATCCCCTGAAATGCATTTCACAAGAAAATTTGATAAGAAAAAATAAATTTATTATACAAATGGTAGTTTTGTCTCAGAGAGAAAAAAGATAGCCCGATTTTTTTCTCGAAAAAAAAAATAAAAAAATATAGGAAACAAACAGTTATAACAGTGAATCTACCGTTTTACTGTCATGGTCCAGGACAATCAGTTGCGCTTGGCAGTTATCAGAAAAACGAAATATGAAGGACTGATTGCCGCGTTTCCAATTCGATGCTATATCAAAACCAACCAGTGTTGTGTCAATGCGAACATTTGAACCTCGCTTGTAG